TGTGGAACTGTGTCAAACGCCTTCTTGCAGTCCAAGAAAATGCAGTCCACCCACCCCTCTCTCTCTTGTCTTACTGCTGTCACCATGTCATAGAACTCCAGTAGGTTTGTGACACAAGATTTCCCGTCCCTGAAACCATGTTGGCTGCTGTTGATGAAATCATTCCTTTCTAGGTGTTCCACCACTTTTCTCCTGATAATCTTCTCCATGACTTTGCATACTATACATGTGTGTGTGTGTGTGTGTGTGTGGTGCGTGCGTGCGTGCGTGTGTGCGTGCGTGTGTGTGTGTGCGCGTGCGCGCGCGCTGCTCAGCGGTGTGCCTTTGTGTGATGGTTGTACTTGTGTGTAATTATCTGTTTTAGTTTGCAGGTGTTGAGCTATATCTCTTAGTTCCGTCTCTTATAATTGGCTTAAAGTATCCTTGTCATCTGTTTTTGAACTCCTATGTGAAGTTAATTTTTAGCGTGTGTGTGCAGAACAAACCTTTAATAATAGATGACGTTCCATTCAGAGTAGAGCCACACTTGGTGTGTAAATAAAATTTGCTGTGCACAGTGTACTTTTTTTTATCTTATTTGTTTTGTGTTCCACCACACAGCTTCCATTGTGTTATTTTTTAAGCCTTTACATTTTTTTGTCCAACTCTTATGTTGAAAAAAATATTTATAATATGCCTGTTGCTCATCTGTGTATCTAATTACCACGTGTTGCATCACTAGTAAACAGTATCAGTGTCAGCCCTGTCTAAGGCAACAGAACATTTTGAATATCATTATTATGGCTCTCTCTGTTCTCCCAATAACAAGAGGACTAGCTTTTTCCATTCATAGCTTACTTCCCGCAGTTTAGACTGCCCTGCATACACTACTTTCTAGGGTTTAAATTTGTTTTAATAGGTGAGGGTTCCACACCGGTACTCTATACTCAAGAATGGATCACATATATGAGGGGAAGAATATGTCGTACGTGTTTTTGTAAACGTTCTTGAATACTATTCCCATATTAGTGAGCTTAACCTGTGGTGCTGTTGTCCTCACATATACATCTGGAGACACGTCTCACAGTAATGGATATTCTTTGGTAATCTTCTTTAACTGTGTGAGTTTATTTCCCTCCCAAATGACGGCTCTTCTGTTATCCCAGTTTGATCTTATTTCTCCAGTTGCTCTGAACCTGTTTTGTCTTATTTGTGTTGGAGGGAAGAGGAAAGAGGGGAAAGGCAGATAGATGGGTCAGAGGGAAAGGGGACTCTTCGCCGAGCGGAGAGGCATCAGGGGAGGACAGTATTCCTGACGATAGTGTGGAAGAGAAAATAGTATGCTGGATATCTAGGTATGTCAGGAAGAGAGAGACTGCAGTGGAGTGGGCGGCGAGGATCGTGACAGTGGAGGTGGATGGGTATAAAGTTTGTGGAGGTAGGGAAGGATTTGGTGAATTTTGTGGAGTTAGGGGAGGACGGATTGAGATTTGTGGAATTAATGAAGTATGAAGTGAGGTTCATGGAGATTGAGGAGGACGAGTGGCATTTCGGGAGTTAGGAGAGGAGGTAGTGATGTTTATAAAGTTAGGGGATACTCGTGTGTAAGGGATACATTCGGTCGCAGGCAGAGAGTGAGACGCGGGGGTTAAGGGCGGAGGTGTGGAAGTGTGTGTGTGTGTGTGTGTGTGTGTGTACTCACCTATTTGTGGTTGCAGGGGTCGATTCGTAGCTCCTGGCCCCGCCTCTTCGCTGATTGCTACTAGGTCCTCTCTCTCCCTGCCCCATGAGCTTTATCATACCTCGCCTTAAAACTATGGTTCCCGCCTCCACTACGTCACTTTCTAGGCTATTCCACGGCCTGACTACTATATGACTGAAGAAATACTTCCTAACATCCCTTTGATTCATCTGAGTCTTCAACTTCCAATTGTGACCTCTTGTGTCTGTGTCCCTTCTCTGGAACATCCCGTCTTTGTCCACCTTGTCTATTCTGCGCAGTATTTTATATGTCGTTATCATGTCTCCCCTGACCCTCCTGTTCTCCAGTGTCGTCAGGCCGATTTCCCTCAACCTTTCTTCGTAGGACAATCCCCGTAGCTCTGGGACTAGTCTTGTTGCAAACCTTTGCACTTTCTCTAATTTCTTGACGTGCTTGACTAGGTGTGGATTCCAAACTGGTGCTGCATACTCCAGTATGGGCCTGACGTAAATGGTATATAGAGTCTTGAACGAATCCTTACTAAGGTATCGGAACGCTATCCGTAGGTTTGCCAGGCGCCCGTATGCTGCAGCAGTTGTGTGATTGTGTGTTTGCATGTTTATGTGCATCATTATGTAGGAGCAAGTGTTGAAGTGATGTGTGTATGAGTACATCTGTTAAGATGAACCATCATGTGCGAGTCCGTTCACAGAGTGGTATAGACCAGCCAGAGATTGTTGTTGCAGCTGCTGTGGTTTGCAATAAACTGTGCGTTTAGTGGTACTTGGAGTGGTTGTTGATGGTACTTTGGGTGGTTTGGTGGTGGTAGTTGTGGTGGTGTGTGAAAATTTTCATGGTTTAGGCTGCCTACGTTTTTAAGGTCTGAATTTTTAGAATGATAGCCTATTTTTTTTAGTGGTCTAGAAGAGTAAGTTTGGTGGGTGGTGGTTATGGTGGTTGGTGGCAGTACTTGTGGTGGTAGATGATAATTATAGTAGTTGAAGATGTGGTGATGGAAAGTAATGTTTGATAATGGTCCACAATGGACCGAAACGTCCTGCAGTTTTTCCTCTCATAAGTGAGAGTTACTTGTGAATTGTTCCAGCCGCCACGAAGTGTGACTTCTATACTTTACCAGAAATTAAATAATTCCGATTAAGGAACTTTTACTGTCAAGAGTTGTGCAAAATAAGAAAATGTGTTTAGTGTTGCGTGTTTTTTAATATAAAATAATGTGACATAAACAGGAAACGAAGAGCACTTTTAAGTATAAGAATAAGACCTTGCTAACAAGAAATGTATCAACTGCTTTTGGATAATTTTGTTATTATAATAGTTTTTCCTGCTAAATATATCTATACTCGGACAGAAATGGCAAAATGTATGGGCAAGTCTCCTTACACCCGCTGTCTTTGTTCCCCTCAAATCCTAGGTCACGGTGACGTGACGTCATCAGTGTCCGGGTCGGCCATGTTGGTTATAATACTTCCGATAATACATGTTTATAATGCGAGCTTTTTTTTTTTACAAAGTATTTTTGATAATATATAGTTCGTTCATCTGTTTTCATAAAAACAAAATGACCACATTGGTTGTATACGATTTGTAAACAAAATTAGTGAATTATTTAGACAATTTTACTGTGAAATATATATTTTTTGAAGTGAAGATTAAATTAACATTGAAACAATTAAACTGACATTTTATAATTAATTAATATCGCGTTTATACACTTAATGAAGCTAGTCTTCAACCAAATAAAAGAAATAAAAATACGAAGTCAAGTTACAGTGGTGAAGCTCCGTATTAATTGTCTAAGTTGTTTTATCAGAAGATGTCAGAATACTTCCCAGTATAACTTATCCGGATATTATTAACTATTTGGTATTTTCATCTAGTCTCTAAACATGCCAAGATTGAAAAACTTACAAAGATCTAGAAGCATACAATTAATTAGTTTGTCTGCGGCTAAGCGGTTAGAGAAAAAAAGCCAGTTCATTATCAATAAATTCCTGGGCATGATAAAGGTATTTTTTTTTTTGGCTTTATTATTAAATTATTATTTATTATTAAACAGAAGTATGTTGTATTGACTTATTTCATATATAAAAAATTAATGCTTCAGAATTTTCATGGTAAATTAAAAATAATGTTTAATGTACTTTTCACAAGCATCACTATGGTGTTTTATCACTTAAGGAGTCAGTAATACTTCAGATATGACAACCAATAACTCTATAGTAGACCATGTTGTTTATGTTTTGGAAACATTAACTATTTGTAAATTATCAAGAATAACTTGTAAAACCTTCACAATTCTAAACGTGTATTGTCAGATGCACCCAACATGGCCGACCTGGAAACTGATAACATGACCTGAAAGTACTTTATACCTAGGGCCAAACTTGATAGTGACCTCGAGTATGATATCAAGTCTTAGTCCAGGGGCCGGCAACGTTTTGGAGAGAGAGGGCCAGACAGCTATGCAGTCTCTCATAAGAACATAAGAACGAAGGAACACTGCAGAAGGCCTACTGGCCCATGTGAGGCAGGTCCAAGTCTCCTACCGGCTTAAGCCAATGCACCCAACCTAGTCAGGTCAGGTCACATTGACTTAAGGGAGGAACACGGCAACCGACCTGGTAGCACAAGCTATCAGGTCCAACTCACTCCCACCCACATCCACTCATGTATTTATCCAACCTATTTTTAAAGCTACACAACGTTCTGGCCTCTATAACTGTACTCGGGAGTTTGTTCCACTCATCCACAACTCTCGGAGGAGGTCATTGTTATTAAATGTAATATACAAAAATTTCTCGAACTCAGGGTTTCCATTAGTTTTTTTAAGCTAATTTTGGCCTAATTCTAATAGTACTTAACAAAATTTATCACAAATAATTAAACATTATTATCGAAGGCAGATACCTACTGTACAGTTGTTTTACCACCAGACAACAAACTCAAATGAAAAACTCTAAGGAGGGAGGATACGAAGTAACTTTTCCAGGGTCTGCTTAACCTTGAAGTGAACTACTGCATCTGTATTCAATACTAATTAGGTAATTGGTGATAAATTAGACACATGTGCAACTCTTGGGTATCTTTATTGAGGATAATAAAGATACCCAAGAGTTGCACATGTGTCTAATTTATCAACATGTCCGTTCTCTGAACCATTCATAGATAATTGGTGTCCAGATGTTAAGTTGGCGGGCCGGACGAAAACCTCACGCGGGCCGGGGGTTGCCGACCCCTGTCTTAGTCTCTTAGTCTGTAAACATGAAATGTGTTAAGACGCATTTTTTTTTTGTTGCAGGATGGCTGCGAGCGTTGGCGCGTGGAGGGGGAGGTATGCCGACTACAGGAGGCTCTGGGTCAGCGTCTGGGCACTGCTGCCATAATGGTCAGGCGCCGGGACCACCGCCTTCACGCCATCAATACAATAGAGAAAACCATCCAGAGGCTCCAGCAGGATACGTTGCGTAACAACTACAACAGCAGCCAAGATCTTCAGAGGTCTACCTCACCCATGCCACACCCATCAGACATCATGGACGCCGTTAATGCCAATCAGGTAAACACTGCTTTTTTTTTTTTTTGGTTATATCTCTGCTTCCCTTATGTTTCACATGTAACGTGGGCTTGTAAATACGGTACAAACTTTTTGTGAAGTTTTCTCTCTTTTAATGCAATATAATATTTCATGTCACCACGTATGCTATATAATGAACCACGATTTTGACTGTAATATGTTACATTATAGAATTTTATAGATTGTGAATTTTATTGCACACAATGTGTATTTATAGAGTATATTTAAATAGTGCTTCAACCTTAAACCCCTATCACATAACCCCTGTCAAATAACCCTGTCACATAACCCCTGTCAAATTACCCCATCACATAACTCTTACCAAATAACCCCATCACATAACCCGTCAAATAACCTCGTCACATAACCCCTGTTAAATTACCCCATCACATAACTCCTGTCAAATAACCCCTTCACATAACTTATCACATAACCCCGTATCTTTGAAGAGTTTCGAGAGTTTCTCTACTCTCTGAGCCCAGCCATGGGCCAGGCTCGTCTGGAGCTTGCCTGGTCAACCAGGCTGTTGCTGCTGGAGGCCTGCTGCCCCACATATCCATCACAGCCTGGTTGATCTGGCACCTGGTGAAGATACTTGTCCGTTTCCTCTTGAAGGCTTCTACACTTGTTCCAGCCGTCTTTCTGGTATCTTCTGGTAAGATGTTGAATAGTCTGGGACCCCGGATGTTGATACAGTGTTCCCTTATTGTCCCCACCACACCCCTGCTCCTCACTGGGTTTATTTTACACTTCCTCCCATATCTCTCACTCCAGTATGTTGTTATGGCAGTGTGCAGATTTGGGACTAGGCCCTCGAGCACTTTCTAGGTACAGTGGTCCCTCATTTATCATCGTTAATCCGTTCCTGGAAGTGTGACGATTATCGAAATAGACGATTTTCGAATAAATTTTCCCCATAAGAAATAATGTAAATGCAATTAATCCGTTCCTGACACCCAGAAGTATTACAACAAAATTTTTTTTATATGAAATATAGATGTAGTACATAAACAATACAATGGAACATGATGAATGAAACATTAACAGCATAACGCTTATCTTTATTGGCGATTCTTCTTAGTGTATGGAAGACTGGAGGAGGAGAGAGATGGGATTAGTTACTGTTTGGAGGGGGAATCCCCTTCCATCAACACCTCGGGTACCAAGTCCTTTTCTGGGGTTGCTTCTCTTCTCTGTTTCTTAATGCCACTAGGACCAGCTTCAGAGTCACTGGAGTCCTGTCTCGCAAAAAAAGTGTTCAGAGAGCTCTGTTTCTGGCATCCCTTTAAAACTTCCCTAAAATGGGCCAAGACTCTGTCACTGTACAAGTTGCTGATATGGCTTGCAACATCCTTCTCAGGGTGATGTTTCTCCATAACTCTTTCCATCCTACCCCACATTTCAAAAATCTCCTTAATTTCTGAAGAAGGCACCTTCTGCCATCTCTCTTCCTCCTCCTCTACAGCAAGATTCTGAGCTGCGATCTGTTGCTGTTCCTGCTGAAACTCTTGCAGCTCCTCAGTGGTTAGCTCTTCGTTGTGGTCTTCCACTAACTCTTCCACATCCTCCAAACTCACATCCAACCCCATGGAATTCCCCAATGCCACAATAGAGTTCACAACTGACATAGGCTCATCAGGGTCAGCCACAAACCCTTCAAAATCCTTCTTGTGGACACAATCTGACCACAATTTTCTCCAAGCAGAGTTCAAAGTCCTGGTAGTCACTCCCTCCCAAGCCTTACCTATAAGGCAATGGAGGATACTGAAGTGTTCTTTCCAAAAATCTCTTAGGGTCAAGTGAGTGTCTGAGGTCACATTAAAGCACCTTTGAAACATTGCTTTGGTGTAGAGTTTTTTAAAGTTTGAAATGACCTGCTGGTCCATGGGCTGGAGGAGAGGAGTGGTATTTGGGGGCAAGAACTTTACTGTGATGAACCCAAACTCCTGCAGAATTAGGTCATCCAAGTTTGGAGGATGAGCAGGTGCATTATCCATTACTAGGAGGCACTTGAGATCCAATTTCTTTTCCAGGAGGTAATTCTTCACACTAGGGCCAAACACTTCATTGAACCACTCAACGAAAATTTCCCTCATGACCCATGCCTTATTATTAGATCTCCAAAACACACACAATTTACTCTTCATAACATTGTTTTTCCTGAACACTCTGGGATTTTCAGAATGGTACACTAGTAATGGCTTCACTTTGAAATCCCCACTTGCATTAGCACAGAACATGAGCGTCAGCCTGTCTTTCTTTGGCTTGTGTCCTGGCAGTCCCTTTTCCTCCTGAGTAATGTAGGTCCTCTTTGGCATTTTCTTCCAAAAGAGGCCTGTTTCATCACAATTGAACACTTGTTCAGGTTTCAGTCTTTCAGCCTCTATGTACTCCTTGAATTCACTTATGAATTTTGTAGCTGCAATTTTGTCCGAACTGGCAGCCTCACCATGCCTTATCACACTGTGTATGCCACTACGGTTCTTAAATCTCTCAAATCAATCTTTGCTGGCCTTAAATTCACAAATATCAGTACTCGTTGCAGGCAGTTTCTTTACCAGATAGTCATGCAACTGCAGAGCCTTTTCACAAATAATCAACATCATAAGACTATCTTCTGCTAATTGTTTCTCGTTTATCCACACAAATAATAACTTCTCAACATCTTCGAGTACTGGTGATCTCATTTTTGTCAGCATATTTACCCGCTTTGCAACAACAGCTTTCTTGATTTCCTTTTTCTTGGCCACGATGGAAGATATGGTTGTACGGGATTTGTTAAACATCCTGGCCAGTTCGGCCACACATACGCCACTCTTATATTGTTCAATGATGTTTTTCTTAAATTCAATCATATTTCTCACCTTCTTTAGCAAAGGCTTGGCACTAGGAGCGTTCTTTGGAGCCATGGTAGCTTATTTAGCACTTGCAAGCACTAAAATTAATGGAATATTATGAAATATTTTGTATGAGCAAGTGAGGGGACCGTCGCTCACTGGTAAACAATGGCACACTGGCTGGGAAGGGAGGCCTAGGCGGCTCAGAGCCGCGAGTACACGTCCAGGATGAACAACGATTAGCGAGTCAACCGACCATTTGCAAGCCAATGTTTGGACGAAAATAACGCGACGATTTCCAAAAAGGACGACTATCGAGCCCGACAGTTATCGAGGGACCACTGTATATATTATCATGTATCTCTGTCTCATCCGCTTAAGTGAGTACATGTTCAAGACTCGAAGGCATTCCCAGTAATTTAGGTGTTTTACTGACTCAATGTGGGTTGTAAACGATCTCTGTATTTGTTCTAGCTCTGATATTTCTCCTGCTTTGAACGGGGCTATCAGCACTGAGCAATATTCTAAGTGAGGGAGCACTAGCGATTTGAAGAGTATCACCATCGGCATTATTTCCCTTGTTTTGAAAGTTCTCAATACCCACCCCGTCATCTTCCTTTTTGTTGTGATCTTTGTCTTGTTATAGTCTTTAACCCTTTGAGGGTCGACAGGCCCTCTCCGAAACTCGTTCTCAGGGTCGGCCAAATTTAAAAAAAAAAAAAAATTATTTTCTCTTATGAAAAGATAGAGAATCTTTTCCCGATCATAAAGACACCAAAAGTTTGAAATTTGATAGAAAACTTACGGAATTATGCTCTCGCAAAGTTAGCGGTCTCGGTGATGTTTACGCATCGGCGTTTTTGCCCACTTTGAGCCCCATTTTCTGCCAATTTCACTGTACTAGTCGACAAAAAACATGAATATTTCGCTAGAACTCCATTTTTTTCTATCGAATGGGTGCAAGAAACCACCCATTTATGAAATTCAACTATCCAGTACAGTGGTCAGAATTTAGCAATTTTGCCAATTTCACACAAATTTCAAAAGATGCCAATTTCCGAATAGGGTCCAGAATAAACAAGAAAGACATTCCTGGCACTAAAATGACATTTCCTCCAGTCATTAGTCACGTCTCAAGGCCCCTCTTATATTCTTTTGCTTTCCACTTTGAATTTTTATTCTCACAAAAAATATAAGATATACTGTTATGCAGACTACTGCATTAGTGTAAAAAATGGTATAAATGTTATTGGTGCACTTGTGAAAGAATATTAGACTCACCAGTTGACGTGTATTGCACGCTTGGCACGATTTGTTTACTTTTGAAGTTTGGTAAAAATCGAACATTTCTGCTACTTTGAGCTCAATTTCAAGGCACCTTTCATTGTAAAACCAGTCAAAATCATCTCAATTTCTGTAATATGTCTTCCATTCTATAAAATGAGACCAAGAAAACTAGAATACAACAATAAATACCATACGAAAATACACTGCAAAGTCGCTGATTTATTAAAAAAAAATGGTCAAAGTTTTTTTTTTTCTCATTATGCACTGTGTGCTGCAGGATTTTTTTTAGACTGTGCACACTGACCACATAGACCCATTCTTTCATATGAAGGCCTACCAGCTTTCTCCCACTAGATTTGAGGCCGCTAGAATTTATGAGTACTAGTACGTCAAAAACCCCTACTCGTAAGACGTACTAGTACGACCAAAACCCTCAAAGGGTTAAAAGAAAGGTCAGCCGACATAATTATTCCCAGGTCCTTTACGTGTTCCTTTCATTCTATTTGGTGACCCTCTTGAGTTTTGTATATAGTGTTCCTTCTGAATTCTTCATTCTTTCCATACCTAAGCAGCTGGAACTTATGACCATTGAACGTCATGTTGTTCTCCACTGCCCACTGGAAAACCCTGCTTATGTCTTCCTGTAATTTTTCAGTGTCCTCTACTGTAGGGACTTTCATGCTTATTTTAATGTCATCTGCATATGATGATACAAAAGTGTGCCAGGTGTTTTTATCTATGTCTGCTAGGAGGATGAGAAACAGCAGAGGTGCCAGGACAGTGTCTTGGGGCACTGAGCTTTTGACCTCGCTGATGCTGGATCTTGCCCTGTTGACTACTACTTTTTGTGTTGTGTGTGTTAAGAACCCGAAAATCCATCTGCCTACCTTCCCTGTAATGCCTTCCCCATAATGCCTACCTTCCCCATAATGCCTACCTTCCCCATAATGCCCCTCATGACTCCGTAATTCTGTCATAATGGTTCAGCAGCTGTGACAGGTATGATTGTCCTGTTCTAAAACCATGCTGGTTCAAGTGGTCATGCTGATCCATGAACTTTGTAATCTGCTGTCTCATCGCTCTTTCGAAAATTTTTATGATGTGAGAAGTTAGGGCTACTGGTCTGTAATTTTTAGCTAGTGCTCTACTACCTTATGCAAAGGAGCTATGTCTGCACTCTTTCAGGCCTCTGGTATTTCGCCTAGATCTAAGCTCTTTCTCCAAAGAATACTGAGGACTCGTGGTCTCAAAAAACCCCATCATATAACCCTTGTCAAATAACCCCCATCAAATAACCCCATCACATAACCCCTGTCAAATAACCCCATCACATAACCCCTGTCAAATAACCCCATCACATAACCCCTGTTAAATTACCCCATCACATAACCCCATTGCATTACTCCTGTCAAATAACTCCTTCACATAACCCCCATCAAATAACCCCATCATATAACCCTTGTCAAATAACCCCATCACATGACCCCTGTCAAATAATATCATTACATAACCCCTGTCAAGTAACTCATGAAACCCCCTGTCAGATAACACCATCGCAATCCCTGTCAGATAACCCATCACAACTACTGTCAAATAACACCATCACAACCCGTCATAAAACCTGCCGCATGATCCTCATCAAATAACACTCGTCACATAACCCACCAGATAATCCCTGTCACATTTTCATATCACAAACCCTATGATATACCCACAACAAAGCTCCATCACATAATTCCCACTACTTGACTACCATCACATAACAGAACCTGTTCAAGCCATCTGGGTAATTCTCTCTGCCTCTCTAGTTGTCTTTCTCATTAGTTTCACATCATCAGCACACAATGGCAGGAGAAGCCTTTATTATATTTCACCCAGAGTGAAGCTTAATCAGTGTTGCATTTGATAAAATACAGAACAGCTTATGTTATTGTCTACCATTCATGTTCATGAGTTCCTCTTATATTTACCCTCTGTATTTTATTCTCTGGATTTTCCTGTATTCACCAGTTTGCGTTTTGTGTTTTGCTTGTCTCCTAGTTCTGCCGCATCAACTTCAATCAATTGGCCTTCTTGTTTCTGGCATCTTGAGCCCTATTGTACCAGTAGATTCCATACTGGTGTATACAACCTCTCCTCGCTGAACGACAGAGTTCCATTCCTAAGACCACGTCAGTAAACAAATTCGTCGCTAACATTTATAACATTTCTGGTATATTTTTATATATATACCAGATATGTTAAAGAGTAGTGTACTGTATATTGTAATGAAAAGAATAGAAGAAATCAGCTCTAATATACATTATTTAGGTGTGCATACTGGTCAAAGAGCCCATCGTAAGTCTGAGTCGTTGGTAAACGAGTACGTCGCTAAGTGAAGAGAGGCTGTATTAGCATGAAGGAATCCTTATGAGGTTCCTGAAGGCTACCTTAAATTTCCTGGATTGCATATGCCTTTGAAATTATCATATTTGTTTGAGTCTCATTTGATAGGTTTGTTGATATGCCAACCATTTAGCCAGTCTCCATTCCTGATGCAGAAAATTACCTCCTTTTAGGGAACGTGGTGCTACACTGGTTTCCTTTCTCTCTCTCTCTCTCTCTCTCTCTCTTCATCTGTATCACTTTGCATTTATTATAGCTTATGCTTTGTTATTATGGCAAGATATACTTTATTGTTAATACATTAGTCTATATTTAATGTTTCCATAATATTGCAAAATTTTAATATTTCTAGTAGTTAAATTTCTATACTATTACACATTGTTTTCATCATCAGCTCCAAGATGAAGATGGTACAACTGACGATATCAGCGAGATCCGAGAAATGGACTCATTGCAGTCAGACACCCTCCACTCCAGTGAGGGAGATGACCAAACCAAAGGGAGACCTCCTCTTACTAGTCAAGATTCTAATGAATTAGAATCTCCCACTGATACCTTGTTGCAACAGCACCAGTTTCCCACGGGAAAAATGCCTCCTGCCATTGAAGCAGTCTTAAGGGGCACATGGCCTTTTGAGAAAGCTCTGTGGCACTCTAGTCCGGCTTCCATGGGGATGCCATACAAAAATAATAATCAGGTGCGTTATCAAACATTACTAATTCCAATCATGCTATTTTTTTAGGAACATATTCGTGAGAGTTCTTCTGTTCTGTTTACTACTGTTAGTTAAATATTGATAAAAACAGAAAAGTTAAATGCAAGAATGGGTGAGGGATTGTAATTTTTTTACTGAGATAAGAACCAAGCTTTCTGCTAAGAATGATTGATAGTGATGAAATATTGAACACAGTGGAGGTGTTGATATATGGAGGGAATATAATCAGAAACTCTTAGCTGCATATATTGAAATAGTCAGAACTTCCATGTTTGAGTGAGAATAAGATCTGTAGCATTATTGTAGAAGACCTGGAAGTGAGTGTGAAAGAAATATGTGTAGAGGAAGCAAGTGAGAAGGAAGTATTGGTAAAGGAAGTGAGAGTGGTGGAAGGGATTGTAAAGGAACTGAGCATGAAGGCAACGAGTAAAGCTGAACTTAGTAGGAAATGGAGAAGAGATGAAGTATGGGTAATGTATGATTGCTAAGTGTAGGTTGAAACAGAGCACTGGGAATGTTAGTATGTACATTCAGTGTGTGTATGAAAGAAAATTTTGTAAGGTATACATATGTTTGGTTCCTTTATATAAACTGAAATAGATTCAGGAAAGAAAGAGAATATGTTGATTAGGTGTTTGCATTACCTAGATTTGAGGAAAGGGCAGCTGCATTCATAAAATGGAAAAAGCTCACAACTAACCCACAAATTGGAAACAAGTCTTTAGATAACATTTTTCTCCATCCTGGACCATTACATTGCAACTGGTCCATGGTGATAACAACTCAGGATGATATTGGTTAGGATAAACCATACCCATCTCAGAATTTATCTCCAATTTGTGGGTTAGTAGTAAATTGCTTCAGCCATGGTATAGAGACTTCATTGTGAGTTAGTCTGTAGGTTTTGACATACATTTAGTTTGAAGAAGAATAGTAATATCTGCAAAAGGACTGTGGGAAATTGGTTAAAGGGCCTAAAGTTTGAAAATGCCATACAGTGTATGCTCTTGTGAATGGAGGTAGAGAGGTTATGGTGTTAGAGTAATTTCCTTCTGAAGAGGCAGTTAGAGTATTTTCTTCTTTGATCACACTGTCTGGTTAGGTAACAGCTAGACAGGGTATTGGGAAATGAAAAAATGTTCAAGGTAAGTATCACATATATTGAAATTTGTGTTTTGTTGGCAGGAGGTACCGGGGATTATGGCAACTTCCAGTGTTACAAACAGACGTGCCCAGAGTACTCAGCAACTCCTTACCAACAAGGTACACATAATTAATTTCACTTGCTTACATGAGGTTCATATTTTTGTTTTTATTTTTAGTAAACTTTTACTCAATTCAGCTATTAGTTTTGTTTGTTGTTCAGTAGAGTATTATTGATGACTACTGTAACACAGCAGATATATAGAAAATAAATTATTGAATGAATTTATTTAAGAAAAAATTATGATAGAGGAATGGAGACCATATATTACTTTAAAAAAGGAGAAGAGGGAACAAAAAAAAAAACAAGTTTTTTACAGGAGAATGAGAGATATACTGTACTGAAATGTCATCAAGAAAATTGTATTTTAACTATACATATAAGTCTATTGATTTTCTGTGTATTTGTTTTTATTTTTTATTAATTTTTTCCTTTAGGAACTAGATATCCTCCACAAGTGCCTACATTTACAATCTTTCCCCAGGCATTCAAAATACCTCTTAAGTGTTAGACTCTTGAAAGAATATCTAAAGAAAATTGTAAAAAATTCTACATGCTGGTTTGGCTGTCATGAAGTCTATGATATTGTACATGTCTTGCATATAGAGATAACCCAAAAACCAATTATTACACTGGTCTAGGGTAGTACGGGGAACTTTGCCAATATCTTAGGCACCCTGTTCCAAACAGCAGTGGCAGTGATGACAGAGATGGCATTTGCAAAATACTTTAATGAAAGCAATAAATAAAACATTAATAAACTGTGATTAAAATGAGAAGTAAATCTCAACTATTGGGTCATGAAATGAAGTGAAAGTCATTGCAAGACAAATATGGTTATGTATCACTTGTATTTTTATTTATAATTTAAACAGCAGTACAGTTGATATCAGTGATCACATATACAACATAACTATGGACAAGATCAGGAATTATGAACTTTTTTCCATTTTTTCCGATGATTCCAACTGATATCTGGCTTTTTTGTCCTTAATTGCCAAAGTCCATTAATGAGAGATCCATCAATGAGATCTGTGTGTCTCAGTGTCATTCATGTGGGCATGAAGTCCCTTAGCACAAAAAACTAAGTTTTTCTAATACAGTGGAACCCCGGTTTTCGTCTTTAATCCATTCCAGAAGGTTGGCCGAAAACCGATTTGTATGAAAACTGAAGTAATACGTAATTCCTATAAGAAATAATGTAAATCCAATTAATCCATTACAGACACCCAAAAATATTAACAAAAACTACATTTTATAGAGAATAACTATAGTTTTACATACAGAAAACAATGAGAAATAAATATAAATGACTAATGAAATGGATAAATGAACATTTAACATCACTTTTACCTTTATTGAAGACTCTTGTTGGTGTATGGAAGACGGCGAGGAGAGAAGAGGGAGGAGAGATTATTGTTTGGAAGGGTAATCCCCCTTCATAAGGACTTCAGGTATCAAAGCCCTATCTGGAGTTACTCCCCTTCTTTGTCTTTTACTGGCACTAGGACCAACTTGAGAGTCATTGGACCCCCTGTCGCACAAAAAATCTGTCCAGAGAGGCCTGTTTCTTGCGTCTCTTTAAGATTTGCTTAAAATGGGACACAGTATTGTCGTTGAATGTGTTGCTCATGTGGCTTGCAACAGCTTTGTTAGGATGATATTTCTCCACAAAATTTTGCACCTTAGTCCACTTTGCACAAATGTCCTTAATTGCTGAAGAAGGTACATTCTACCCTCTCTCTTCCTCCTCCTTTGGAGCAGTTTCCTCAGCTAAGGTCTGTTGCTGTTCCAGATGAAGGTTAGCTCTTCCCTGTGGTCGTCCACCAACTCTTCCACATCCTGGCCACTCGCCTCCAATCCCATGGACTTCCCCAAAGACAATAGATTCCACAACAGGCACAGGGTCATCAGTGTCAGCCTCAAACCTTTCAAAATCCTTCTGGAGGACACATTCCGGCCACAATTTTTCTCCAAGAAGAGTTAATCATCCTGGAAGTCACCTCAAAGGCATATGCAATTGAGGATATTGAAGTGATTCCTCCAGAACTCTCTTAGGATCAATTCAAGTGTCTATCTGGGATCACTTCAAAGCACCTTTGAAACATTGCTTTGGTGTAGAGGTTTTTGAAGTTTGAAATGACCTGCTGGTCCATGGGGTGGATAAGAGGAGTGGTATTAGGGGGCAAGAACTTCACTGTGATGAAACTAAACTACCCCAACAATTGGTCTTCCAAGTCTGGAGGATGAGCAGGAGCCATGTCCCTTACCAGGAAGCACTTGAGTGGCAATTTATTTTCCAGGAAGGATTTCTTCACACTCGAGCCAAACACTTCATTGACCCACTTAATGAAAATTTGCCTCATGACCCATGCCTTATTGTTAGCCTTCCACATCACACACAATTTACTCTTGATGACCTTGTTTTTCTTGAACACACTGGGATTTTCAGAGTGATACACCAGTAAAGGCTTCACTTTGGAATCCCCACTAGTGTGGGGATTTGTCCTGGCAGTGCCTTTTCCTCCTGTGTGATGTAGGTCCTCTTTGGCATTGTCTTCCAAAAGAGGCCTGTTTCGTCACAGTTGAAGACTTGTTGGGGGAGAAATCCTTCAGCCTCTATGTACTCCTTTAATTCATCAACGAATTCTTCGGCCCCATGTTTGTCTGAACTTGCAGCCTTGCCATGCCTTACCACACTGTGTGTGCCACTTCACTTCTTGAATTTGTCGAACCAGCCTTAGCTGGCCTTAAATTCACTGACAGCAGTACTCGTTCCAGGCATTTTCTTTATGAGATTGGCATGCAACTACCTTGCCTTTTCGCAAATTATTGCCTTCCCAACTCTATCTCTCACTTACTGTTTTTGGTTGACCCACACCAACAACAACTTCTCAACATCTTTGATTGTTTGCGATCTCTGCTTCACTAGCACATTTACCCCTTTCACATCAGCAGCTTCCTTGATTACTTTTTTCTTCGCCAGGATGGAACTGATTGTTGATTTAGTCTTTCCATACATCCTGGCGAGCTCAGCCACATGTACGCCACTTTCATATTTTTCTACGAGTTCCTTCTTAAATTCTATCATGTTTCTCTTTCTTTACCAAAGGGCTGACACTCAGAACTTTCTTTGGCCCCATGGTGGCTTATTTACTAGTCACAAGCACAAAAAACAATGGATTATTACGAAATGTTTCAGATGAACGCGTGGAGTAACAAAGGCAGACTGAGTCATGAACATATGAGTGACCGTGTCCCATGGGCAGGTGGACGTGTCTAGTACGGACGATTTCCAAGCGGATGTACGAAAACGGGGAAAATTTTGCTGAAAAAAAGTGGTCGAAAACTGAATTGTACGATAATCGAACCAGGTGAAAACCAGGGTTCCACTGTATAATAAAGCAAATTATTTAATTAGTCTACACATTTTGAGGAAAGTGTTAATTATATGCCACTATAAACATAATGCAAACAGTTGCTATACAGTATCTTAAAAATTTTCTGACATTTTATTTAAAGCATTACTTTAAGAACCCCTCAGAGAATGTGCTTATATGCTGGTAAGGAGCATTTAATCCAAGAGGTGAACCTTTCCTTCCTTTCCATGGATTGAACCTGATTGCTTCCCTTTCCCTTTGCACTGTATGATCCCTACAGGTTTAGCACTTCTCCTGAATGTGAAACTTATTCTAATTATGAAGATTTTTCTTAAAATAATTTGGTGCCATAATCCCTGTACATTTAAGTATGAAAGGAACACAACTCTCATAACTGAACCTTTAATAGAACAAACACTAATATTCACCATTTGACTAATAATTACCAGGAAAAATACTTTGAGTATAAACATACAGGTATACTATATAAGAATTTTCTAATTCCTTATAATTTCCTATTTATTATTTAAGTGGTATAAACAGAAATGATAAAAAATTGCTCCTGAGAAAAAAGAGAAATTACTTCATGAAAAAACACAAATTTAGTGTTTAAAAAGACATTATATCAAATGTGGAAAATACCATTTTTTATTGACAATATCAAGAGATGAACCCTTTAACAGCAGAGCAAACATATGAGTTGAGAATGACAATTCATTGAATATTTTTTTCTGAACTGTAAAAATGCACTGTTCAATAACAGTAAGTTGAAGTATTCAGTAATGCAAATGCATACATGTTTAGGAATTTTGTGTCAGTTATATGTTCAGAATTCCTTGTTACTGAAAGTCTTGAAATGAATTGAAACTTTTGCTCGAGTCATACAGGCATTGCTTTGCTGTTTCTGATTATTCCTTTGCTGGCAGGTGGAGATGGTATATGGTCTCCTTTCCATGTTCTCCTCGGGTGATCGTGATGATATGAGCCGCACCCTACTGGCTATGTCTTCATCTCCCGATTCATGTGTAGCCATGAGACAGTCTGGCTGTCTGCCCTTACTTATACAGGTATGTTCTCATAGTTAAGTTAGTCTTGTTTGTCATTTCATACAGCTTTTTCATTTGTTTATAGTGCAACTTCATTTTCATTATGACTTTAGACAAAATGCAGCTGCTGGTAGTTTGTCATGCCTTACAGAATTATCCTGTCATTAGTGGAATGAAGAATATTATGAAATATGTGCATTATATATATACTGTATCTAGCTCTGCCTCTTTTCCCATATTATTAATCTGTATTTTATACTCTGCTGTACAGTATTCCACTATAAATATCCTTTCATGACATGATACCCATGTTTTATAAAATGAAATCTTGAATATTAAACATTTATACAATTTTTTAATGTAAGACTGCAATACTGGATTGTGCTAATATCATAAGACATTACAATATCTACAATGAAAGTACAACTTACTTATTTTAAAATCAAGCTGCTTCATGGAGGGGATGGTGATGTTGCACCTACAAGAGAGACCCGGCTCAGAGCAGCACAAGCCCTCCATAACATTGTCCACTCACACCCAGATGACAAACGAGGACGAAGGGAAGCCAGGTATTATTGACAAGTTTTATAAGTAAAAGCAGTTCCCATATGAAACTTTAATCATTGTAATTGCCAAATATTTTGAAAATAAGCTTACTGCATATTATAATATTTCAGAGTGTTAAGATTATTAGAACAAATTCGTGACTACTCAGACTACCTTTATGAACGACTGGAGCGGACAAGTGCTGGTCGTGGTCCACTTTTAGAAGATGACATGGATAGGCATCCATGTCCAGCAATGGCAGCTCTTATGAAGCTTTCATTTGATGAGGATCATCGCCATGCTATGTGCACACTGGGTGGACTTCATGCTATAGCGGAACTAATTAGGCGAGATCATGATGGTCATGGCTCCACTACTTCAGATCAGTATTGCATAACTTTACGAAGGTTAGGATTATTATTAAGCTATAACATTAAAGTATTTACAGTAGACATGCTCTTTCTAATTAAAGAAATAGGTTTATTCCACAAGCAAAATGAAGTGCATTTGAAGTCTAACATGAAACTTTTCAGAAAGGAATGTGGCTTAGACAGCCATAGGGAGAAAAATATTGTCGAAAATAGTGATTTTTGTGAATGATCTCACAAAATGAAAAAATAATAAAAGTAAAGCAGATTTACATTGCAATCCTGGGATGATATATTGCAAGCTATTAAATTCTTCACTGTTGTTGTAAGATACCTGTTTTTCCATCTTGCTTCATTTTAACTTTAGTTTTCATTACATTAATTGTTTTGATACTAAATATGTTATTAGAATGTGCATATGACAGATATTACTAATTGAATACTTAATCCATGTAGTTTATACACTTAGTGTTTTTGATGTATGAGTCAATAACAGCATTAAGTTGTGCATGAAATTACTTTTATGGGTTTGGTTAATGGGACACTTTCTATTACTTATAATTTTTTTTACCAACTTCAGCATACAATTAACCTTTAAACTGTCCAAATGTAGATCTACGTTCACTCGCGTAGCGCTCTGAACGTAGATCTATGTTCAATTTTACATGCTTTCTTATGTAAAAAATGTAGATCTACGTTCGGAGCGCTATGTGAGTGAACGTAGATCTACGTTTGGACAGTTCAAGGGTTAAATATTAAGTTTTTATCAGATTCTTCTCATTTTAGTTTTTTGGGCTCATTAAAATGCACTCTTTCAATCTAAAAAAAAAAGTTTCCAAAATCTTCCCACTCGCACAGGAAATTTATTTTCTGGGTATGCCACCATTAAAGGGTAAAGGATATAATAAATAGATGCTGTATAATGTGTATTTGTAATGCATTTGGTTACAGTGGATCCCCGGTTATCGTAATTAATCCATTCTAGAGACTCTAGAGTGACTAAACCCAAATCTGACAATTTCCGAATTCATTTTTCCCATAAGAAATAATGTAAATCCAATTGATCCATTCCAGACACCCAAAAGTATTAACAAAAATTATTTTTTTATAGATTAAATATAGATTTACATACAGAAAAGAATGAGAAATCAAGTATAAAACAATAATATTACACCTTTATTGAAGACTCTTGTTGGTGTATGGAAGATGGGAGGAGGGGAGAGGGTTAGTGTGATGTTCCTCCACAAATGTTTGTATCTCACTCCACTTTGCACAAATGTCCTTAATCTTTGAAGAAGGCTCCTTCTTCCCTCTCTCTTTCTCCTCCTCTGAAGCAATTTCCTCAGCTGGTGTACATAAGACCATAAAGTAGGAACACTGCACCAGGCCTGTTGGCCCATACTAGGCAGGTCCTTCAGAAACCATCCCACTAACAGAATCGTATTTGCCAAACCCAATTTTCAATGCTTCCCAAGCAATAAGCTTTGATAATTCCATTCACTCATGCGCAAGTCCCACTCAAATCAAATCGTGTGTATGGGGAAGTACCCTGGCTGGTGTGTGAGGAAGTACCCTGGTTGGTATGTGGGGAAGTACACTGGCTTGTGTGAGGGGAAGTGCCCTGGCTGGTGTGTGTGGGGAAGTACCCTGGCTGGTGTGTGTGGGGAAGTACCCTGGCTGGTGTACATAAGAAAGCAGGGACACTACAGCAGACTTGTTGGCTCCTACTAGGCAGGTCCTTCACAGACCATCCCACTAACAGAATCGTATTTGCCCAACCCAATTTTCAATGCTTCCCAGGCAATAAGCTTTGATAATTCTGTTACTTTTTGCTGATGATACTGTGCTCATGGGAGATTCTAAAGAAAAGTTGCAAAGGTTGGTGGACGAGTTTGGGAGGGTGTGTAAAGGTAGAAAGTTGAAAGTGAACATAGAGTAAGGTGATGAGGGTATCAAATGATTTAGATAAAGAAAAATTGGATATCACATTGGAGAGAGGGAGAATGGAAGAAGTGAATGTTTTCAGGTATGTATTTGGGAGTTGATGTGTCAGCAGATGGGTTTATGAAAGATGAGGTTAACCATAGAATTGATGAAGGAAAAAAGGTGAGTGGTGGTGTTGAGGTATATGTGGAGACAAATAACATTATCTATGGAAGTAAAGAAGGGAATGTATGAAAGTATAGTGGTACCAACACTCTTATATGGGTGTGAAGCTTGGGTTGTAAATGCTGCAGCAAGGATGCGGTTGGAGGCAGTGGAGATGTCCTGTCTAAGGGCAATGTGTGGTGTAAATATTATGTAGAGATTAGGAGTGTGGAAATTAGGAGAAGGTGTGGTGTTAATAAAAGTATTAGTCAGAGGGGTTGTTGAGGTGGTTTGGTCATTTAGAGAAAATGGATCAAAGTAGAATGACATGGAGAGCATATAAATCTGTAGGGGAAGGAAGGCGGGGTAGGGGTCGTCCTTGAAAAGGTTGAAGGGAGGAGGTAAAGGAGGTTTTGTGGGCGAGGGGCTTGGACTTCAAGCAAGCTTGCTTGAGCATGTTAGATAGGAATAAATCGAGACGAATGGCTTTTGGGACCTGACGAGCTGTTGGAGTGTGAGCAGGGTAATATTTAGTGATGGGATTCAGGGAAACCGGTTATTTTTACATAGCCGGACTTGAGTCCTGGAAATGGGAAGTACAGTGCCTGCACTTTAAAGGAGGGGTTTGGGATATTGGCAGTTTGGAGGGATATGTTATACAGTGGACCCCCGACTTACGATGGCCTCATCCTATGATAAAACCGACTTACGACGCTTGTCAGCGTAAAAATTTGACCCCGACCTACGTTGAAAAACTTGACTTACATCATTCGTCCCGAACGTGGCTGTCTGGTCCGTCTGGCCTGAGCGCCTCAGCTGAGCTAGTGTGACGTTGTTTACAAGCCAGGGCGGACGGTTGCATGCATACATTCGATGAATTTTGTATTATTCCAGTGTTTTTGTGCATGTCTTCTTTCAACACACCGGCTGTATCCCACCGAGGCGGGGTGGCCCAAAAGGAAAAATTAAAGTTTCTCCTTTTACATTTAGTAATATATACAGGAGAAGGGGTTACTAGCCCCTTGCTCCTGGCATTTTAGTCGCCTCTTACGACATGCATGGCTTACGGAGGAAGAATTCTGTTCCACTTCCCCATGGAGATAAGAGGAAATAAACAAGAACAAGAACTAGAAAGAAAATAGAAGAAAACCCAGAGGGGTATGTATATATATGTGTAGTATGATCTAAGTGTAAGTAGAAGTAGCAAGACGTACCTGAAATCTTGCATGTTTATGAGACAGAAAAATGACACCAGCAATCCTACCATCATCTAAAACAATTACAGGCTTTCGTTTTACACTCACTTGGCGGGACGGTAGTACCTCCCTGGGGGGTTGCTGTCTACCAACCTACTACCTAGGTTTTAATGCATGTAACTGCTAAATTAGTCACCATGGGCTTATCGAGAATACCGAGAAACAATTAGCCCCAGAGGGTTAGCCACCCAGGATAACCCAAGAAAGTCAGTGTGTCATCGAGGACTGGGATCCTTAATCTTGTCCCCCAGGATGCGACCCACACCAGTCGACTAACACCCAGGTGAACAGGAAAAAATGCCTGGAACTAGTGCTCATATTGGTAAATTTAAGGCCAGCAAAGGTTGGTTTGAGAGATTTAAGAATTGTAGTGGCATACACAGTGTGATAAGGCATGTTCTGGAAGAAAATGCCAAACAGGACCTACATTACTCAGGAGTAAAAGGCACTCCCAGGACACAGTGTCTCATCACTTATCACCACATCTTCAATAAAGGTAAGTGTCATTTATTCTTCATTTAGTACACTAGTACATGCACAATATATATTGTGCATGTATCTTTCTTTTTGTGTGTAGGAAAATGTATATTTCATGTGTTAAAATTTTTTTTTTTTCGTACTTTTGGGTGTCTTGAACGGATTGATTTGATTTCCATAATTTCTTAGGGGGAAAATTAATTCGACTTATGGTAATTTCATCTTACGATGTGCTCTCTGGAACGGATTAATATCGTAAGTCGGGGGTTCACTGTATATCTTTATACTACAGTGGAACCTCAAATATCGAACTTTCTTCAGTCCAGAAGTCTGTTCGAGTGCCTTTACCGAATGAATTTATTCCCATCAGGAATAATGTAAATTAGATTAGTCCATTTCAGACCCTTAAAAATACACTTATAAAAGCACTTACAAAAATACACTTACATAATTGGTTGTGTTGGGAGCAGTTCGATTTTTGAGGTTCCACTGTATGTATATGCTTCTAAACTGTTGTATCTGGGCGCCTCTGCAAAGACAGTGATTATGTATGAGTGAGGTGAAAGTGTTGAATGACGACAAAAGTATTTTCTTTTTGGGGATTTTCTTTCTTTTTGGTCATCCTGCCTAGGTGGGAGACAGCCGACTTGTTGAAAAAAAAAAAAAAATCTATTCACTCATGTGCAAGTCCCACTCAAATCAAATTGTGTGTGTGGGGAAGTACCCCGTCTGGTGTGTGGGGAAGTGCCCTAGCTGGTGTGTGTGGGGAAGTACCCTGGCTGGTGTGTTCTTTCTTGAATTCTATCATGTTTATTGCCTTCTTTCCAAACAGCTGACACTAGGAGCTTTCTTTTGGCCCATGATGGTTTATTTAGCAATTGCAAGCACTAAAGTGAATGGAATATTACGAAATGTATCGTATGAACGCATGGGATCGTGCTCACTGACTGATAAACAATGACACACTGACTGTAAATGGTGTGTTGGACCGCTCAGACGCTTTCAGGACAAATGACTATTACTGAGCTAAATGACGATCACTGAACCAATATTTTGACAAAAAAAGTTATTATTTCTGAATGTTATGAAATCCGATGACTATGGAATCCGGGGGTCCACTGTACGTACTTTATTGCTAGTGTTCATTGCTGTATAACTTATATGGGTTTAGTGGTCGGCAGGAGAGGGCCAATGAGTCAAAAAAAAAAAAAAGTTTTAATGTTTTGGAATGTTTTTTTTAGAATTTTAAACTTAAATCCTTTCAGTATCTTTCATTCATTTACACTTTCAAAACACCCCTTGTCTTGCTTCATCTTTCTTATTTCATAACTATGCTATAATTTTGTTTCATTTGGGTAAATTTCATATCAGATAATTTACTGATGGAACATTTACAGTGAAATTAATACATAGCATTAATCATATCCAGATATGCAGGAATGGCACTGACAAACTTGACATTTGGTGATGGCACAAACAAGGCTCTTTTGTGCTCCTTCCGGTCATTTATGAGAGCACTTGTATCCCAGCTCCATTCTCCTAGTGAAGATCTTAGACAGGTATGGCATTATTCAGTTTACCCAGTAAAGGTTATCTTATGGTTTTTATCCCTTTTTTCATCACTTTGTTTCTGGACAATAACTTGAGACTACCTTTTTGCATTGATTTGGGATTTACAACTCTTATATGTATTTCTGTAATGAAGCAATCTGCTGCCAGATATGCATATGTCATTTAAAAATACTTGCACAGAAAGTGTCTTTTTATGACCAATTTTCTGAAATTTTTAGCTTTCCGTTTGGATGCTTTCTCTATAAAAAGTTTTCAGTTATGTTATGTAGTGTATGTATATAAGCTTAGTTAATCACATATGTATAAACCTGAAACTACAGTAGTACCTCTCATATCTGAACTATATTGGCCAAGACCAGTTCGGAAACACGAAGTTTAAGGATACATGAGGGGGAAAAAATGTGTATTCATACAGTCATATCACCATCGGTGATGGCATAGGTTTAAAAAACGATTCCAACATCGTCTGGCAGTGGAACCAGAGATTCTGGGCTCAAATAACAGACTCCTGGATTTCACGGACCACAGGACCATAACTTTTCAAATGGGCTGTGGACAGTAGATGCTCCAAATACTCCAAAAGTGTTTCGATACCTGCCCTTGGTTTTGGAGGCATTGGGTCGTTGTCGTCACTTTCAGAATGTTCCGGGTGCAGTACTGATTCTGCAATCTCTCCATCCATCAGAGATTTCACACCAGGGCCGTGTTCGTCACACTCTAGCCAGTCCTGCACGTCGTCTTCTGTAGTTTTTTCCCCATCCTTGAGTAACTGGCGATGGAAATCTTTCGCCCTTAATCCATTGCAATCAATAACTGGATCAGTCCCGTGAAGGAGCCGATTCCAGCCATTGGCAAGGATTGATGGTGGGACATCATTCCAGGCCCGGGTGAGGTTATGAATGACAGCATGCAGGTTGCACTTTTTAAGGCTGTCCAGGGTCAAGGCTCCCACATCTTAGCCTTTTTCGTCAATTACCACCATCACATCCTCCATGAATCTTCACCGATATATCCAAACGGCTGTTCAGATGTTTCAGTAATAATTTTAGAATTTTGCCCTTTCCCAGAGCCTGTTGGGATATTGACGAGGTTTGGATAATGGCAGGCCGGATATGCTAGGTATCACATATCTGTTTTGATAAAAAAATCTTAGTTTTTGATAAAAAACCTTAACATTGGCCTTGCAAAGTTACATTAAAGTTAGTATAATATACATTTACCTTGGCTTACACCAATGTTATTTGCTGTATAAACTTTTAGCCTTCTGTCAAAGTTTTGAAATGTAGTTTAGTTAAATTTAAAGTATGTATTGTATTTAGCTGAATCCCATTGTTGTGAAGTTTATGGTTGCCAAGAAATTCATCCATACTGACTTCAGCATTGCTTGTCCTTAATATCTCATTTACAGATTTTTTTTGTCCTCAGTACCCTGCTTATAGAAACATTGTTCATTGCCTGTCCTCATTACCCCTACTCCTCTTTTCTTCTGTTTTGTTTGTCTCGATGTAACTTCATTTTCTCCACCGCCCAATATTTATGCAGCCTTTGTGTTGGATTCTATGTATAGGTAACTGCGAGTGTGTTGCGCAATCTGTCATGGAGAGCAGATGGAGCAAGCAAAGCGAGTCTGAGAGATGTGGGAGCAGTTGCAATTCTGATGCAGGCTGCCCTCTCTGCACGGAAAGAATCTACACTCAAAGTTATTTTGTCTGCAGTATGGAATCTCTCTGCACACTGTAGCATTAACAAGGTGCGTTATTTGTACTTTGGCAGCCTTGAAACAAACTGAAATATTGGCTTTTGTACCTGATAAAGAGTAACTTAAGATTGTATATTATTATTTGATAATCATTTTAATGAAAATAAGAAAAAATTTTGGAGCGAATTAAACAAGTTAAGAAAGCCTAGAGAACGAATGGATTTGTCAGTTAAAAACAGAGTAGGGGAGTTAGTAGATGGGGAGATGGAGGTTTTGGGTAGATGACGAGAATATTTTGAGGAACTTTTAAATGTCGACGAAGAAAGGGAAGTGGTAATTTCATGCACTGCCAGGGAGGCATACTATCTATTAGGAGTGAAGGAGAACAGGATGTGAGTGTGGGAGAGGTGCGTGAGGCATTACGTAGAATGAAAGGGGGTAAAACAGCTGGAACTGATGGGATCATGACAGAAATGTTAAAAGCAGGGGGGGATATAGTGTCGGAGTGGTTGGTATTTTTGTTTAATAAATGTATGAAAGAGGGGAAGGTACCTAGGGATTGGCAGAGAGCACGTATAGTCCCTTTATATAAAGGGAAGGGGGACAAAAGAGATTGTAAAAATTATAGAGGAGTAAGTTTACTGAGTAAGGGAAAAGTGTAGTAGGGTTTATAATGCAACCACCCAGGGAGACAAGTACCTGCGAGAGAAGAGGTTCAAACGGCCTGTGATTGTTTTACATGATGGTTAGATTGAAGCTGATTTGTGAACTGTCTTAAAAATGCAGATTACAGCTTTTTGCTACTTTCGACTTACACTTAGGCACATACATAAGACATGACACATTTATTGAACTGTATATGAATTTGGGAATTACTAAATAGTTCTTGTTTTATAATTTCGTTTATACCTTGGGAAGTTGGAAAAGGGAACTTTTCCCGAAAAGCATGCGTGTTGTAAAAGTCAACTAAAATGCCAACATGGGCTTTAACACCCTTTTCCTGAAATTAAAAAAAAAGTAAGGAAGTAAAAATTGGTCAAATGGGAAGTCTAAATGGCTGGATGGCAATTGAAAGAAAGAGATGATTGTGGATGTATGACATGAGAAGAAGCGGATGTCCTGCTTAAGTGAAAACAAAGGCTTGAAGGGGGTGGAGAGTTTCAGTGGAGAGGAATAAATGGGATTAAGTCGAGGGGTTTCAAATGAGTTAGAGCTAAAGAAGGAGTATCAATAATGTGAAGGATAAGCTATGGCGGGAAAAGAGGGACTAAAAATTTTAAAAAATTCAAGGATTATGTGGAGTAAAAAAAGTTTGGATGTGAAAAGGGGTTTTTAAAAAAAGGTGTATGCACTGGAGAAGAGAGAAGTGTAGAGGAGAGAAGAGTTTTTTGGGAAATGTTGATGAATGCGTGGGGGTTTTTGAATAAGTTGAGAGAAAGGGGGTTTGGGGGATTTTAATGCTAAAGTGGGAAAAATGTTTGGGGGGAGTAGTAGGTAAATTTGTGGTGCCAGGGGAAATGAAAAGGGGCCTTTTAAATTGAGCTAGTGTAAAAAGAAATTTGGTAATAATAATACAAATTTATGAAAAAGAGTTTAAAATAAATATACAAGGATGAGTAGCACGTAATAAAAGTAGTTTATTAGTTTATGTATGGGGGATAAAAGGTTGAGGGGTAGGCTCCGGGATGTAATTTTTAAGAGGGGCAACTGATATTGGGATCTTTATTTAGTTGTACTACAGTTAGAGAAAAGAGGTAATGGAAAAAACGGGAAAGGTGGCAAAAACAAGAAAAGGGGGAGGGAAAGTGTAAAACTAAGGGAGGAGGAAGTTCGGGTGAAATAAGCATATTGGCAAAGGGGGGCTGGCAAAGATATAGTGGGGGGGGGTTGAAGGGGGTTGAATTTTTTAAAAAAATGCAGTATTGAATGGGGGGCAGAATTTTGGGGTTTAAAAGGAGGGGGGGGGCAGGGGGAAAGAGGATGTTTGGGTGGAATATGAAGAAAAGGGGTGTGAAAAAAGGGAAAAAAAGGTAGCTTATGAGGTTTTTACAAAAGCGAAGTGTTATAAAAGAGCAGAGTAAATGGAGAGTAAAAAAAAGGTAAAGAGAGGGGTGAGAGAGTGCAAAAGGAGGCAGATGATGAGTGGGAGAGGCCGTCAGAAATTTTAATGAAAATAAAAAAAAATTTTTTGGGAGTGATTAAACAAGTTAAGAAAGCCTAGAGAAATATGGATTTGTCAGTTAAAAACAGAGTAGGGGAGTTAGTAGATGGGGAGATGGAGGTTTTGGGTAGTGGCGAGAATATTTTGAGGAACTTTTAAATGTTAACGAAGAAAGGGAAGTGAATTTCATGCACTTGCCAGGGAGGCATACTATCTATTAGGAGTGAAGAGAACAGGATGTGAAGTGTGGGGAGAGGTGCGTGAGGCATTACGTAAGAATGAAAGGGGGTAAAGCAGCTGGAACTGATGGGATCATGACAGAAATGTTAAAAGCAGGGGGGGATATAGTGTGGAGTGGTTGGTATTTTTGTTTAATAAATGTATGAAAGAGGGGAAGGTACCTAGGGATTGGCAGAGAGCACGTATAGTCCCTTTATATAAAGGGAAGGGGACAAAAGAGATTGTAAAAAATTATAGAGGAGTAAGTTTACTGAGTATACCAGGAAAAGTGTACGGTAGGGTTATAATTGAAAGAATTAGAGGTAAGACAGAATGTAGGATTGCGGATGAGCAAGGAGGTTTCAGAGTGGGTAGGGGATGTGTAGATCAAGTGTTTACATTGAAGCATATATGTGAACAGTATTTAGATAAAGGATAGGGAAGCTTTTTATTGCATTTATGGATTTAGAAAAGGCATATGATAGAGTGGATAGGGGAGCAATGTGGCAGATGTTGCAAGTATATGGAATAGGTGGGAAGTTACTAAATGCTGTAAAGAGTTTTTATGAGGATAGTGAGGCTCAGGTTAGGGTGTGTAGAAGAGAGGGAGACTATTTCCCGGAAAAAGTAGGTCTTAGACAGGGATGTGTAATGTCACCAGGGTTTTGTTTAATATATTTTATAGATGGGGTTGTAAAAGAAGTAAATGCTAGGGTGTTCAGGAGAGGGGTGGGATTAAATTATGGGGGATTAAATACAATGGGAATTGACACAGTTGCTTTTTGCTGAGATACTGTGCTTATGGGAGATTCTAAAGAAAAATTGAAAAGGGTGTGGATGAGTTTGGGAATGTGTGTAAAGGTAGAAAGTTGAAAGTGAACATAAAAAAAGAGTAAGGTGATGAGGGTATCAAATGATTAAGATAAAGAAAATTGGATATCAAATGGGAGGAGGAGTATGGAAGAAGTGAATGCTTTCAGATACTTGGAGTTGACGTGTCAGCGGATGGATTTATGAAGGATGGGGTTTAATCATAGAATTGATGAGAAAAAAGGTGAGTGGTGCATTGGGATATATGTGTAAACAAAAAATGTTTTTCTATGAAGGCAAAGAAGGAATGTAGAAAGTATAGTAGTCCCAAAACACTCTTATATGGGTGTGAGGCTTGGGTTGTGGATGCAGCAGTGAGGAAGTGGTTGGAGGCAGTGGAGATGTCCTGCCCTAAAGGCAATGTGTGGTGTAAATATTATGCAGAAAATTCAGAGTGCGAAAATTGGGGAGAAGTTTTGTAGTTAACAAAAGTATTAGTCAGAGGGCAGAAGAGGGGTTGTTGAGAGGGTTTTGGGTTTCATTTAGAAGAATGGATCAAAGTAGAATGACGTGGAGAGCATATAAATCTGTAGGGAAGGAAGGCGGGTAGGGGTTTGTCTTCGAAAAGGTTGGAAGGAAGGGTAAGGGAGGTTTTGTGGGCGAGGGCGGGACTTCCAGCGGGTGTGCATGAGTGTGTTCGATAGGAGGGGAATGGAGACGAATGGTATTTGGGACCTGACGATCTGTTGGAGTGTGAGCAGGGTAATATTTAGTGAAAGGGAAATCAGGAAACTGGTTATTTTTATATAGCCGGACTTGAGTCCTGGAAATGGGAAGTACAATGCCTGCACTCTAAAGGAGGGATTCGGGATATTAGCAGTTTGGAGGGATATGTTGTGCATCTTTATACGTATATGCTTCTAAACTGTTGTGGTCTGAGCACCTCTGCAAAAACAGTGATTATGTGTGAGTGAGGTGAAAGTGTTGAATGATGATGAAAGTATTTTCTTTTTGGGGATTTTCTTTCTTTTTGGGTCACCCTGCCTCGGTGGGAGATGGCCGACTTGTTAAAAAAAAAAAAAAAAAAAAATGTTGGTAGACAGCAACCACCCAGGGAGGTATGACTGTCCTGCCAAATGCGTGTGAGATGGAAACCTGTAATTATTTTACATGATGTTAGTAGTGCTGGTGTCTTGTTTCTGCTTCATAAACACACAAGATAACAGGTATATCTTGCTACTTCTACTTAGGTCACACTACACATGCTTGTACATGTTTATATATACACACTCATCTGAGTTTTCTTTGAATTTTTCTTAATAGTTTTTTTTTTTTTCCAACAAGTCGGCCGTCTCCCACCGAGGCAGGGTGACCCAAAAAAGAAAGAAAATCCCCAAAAAGAAAATACATTCATCATCATTCAACACTTTTACCACACTCACACATTATCACTGCTTTTGCAGAGGTGCTCAGAATACAACAGTTTAGAAGCATATACGTATAAAGATACACAACATATCCCTCCAAACTGCCAATATCCCAAACCCCTCCTTTAAAGTGCAGGCATTGTACTTCCCATTTCCAGGACTCAAGTCCGACTATATGAAAATAACCGGTTTCCCTGAATCCCTTAAACTAAATATTACCCTGCTCACACTCCAACAGATCGTCAGGCCCCAAGTACATTCGTCTCCATTCACTCCTATCTAACACGCTCATGCCGCTTGCTGGAAATCCAAGCCCCTCGCCCACAAAACCCTTCTTTACCCCCTCTTTCCAACCCTTTCGAGGACGCCCCCTTTACCCCCCCTTTCCCTTTCCCCCTATAGATTTATATGCTTTCCATGTCATTCTACTTTGATCCATTCTCTCTAAATGACCAAACCACCTAAACAACCCCTCTTCTGCCCTCTGACTAATCCTTTTATTAACTCCACACCTTCTCCTAATTTCCACACCCAAATTTTTCTGCATAATATTTACACCAACATTGCCCTTAGACAGGACATCTCCACTGCCTCAACCGTCTCCTCGCTGCTGCATTTACCACCCAAGCTTCACATCCATATAAGAGTTTTGGGTACTACTATACTTTCATACATTCCCTTCTTTGCCTCCACAGATAACAGTTTTTGACTCCACATATACCTCAACGCACCACTCACCTTTTTTCCCTCATCAATTCTATGAATTAACCTCATCCTTCATAAATCCATCCGCCGACACGTGAACTCCCAAGTATCTGAAAAATTCACTTCTTCCATACTCCTCCTCCCCAATTTGATATCCAATTTTTCTTTATCTAAATCATTTGATACCCTCATCACCTTACTCTTTTCTATGTTCCTTTCAACTTTCTACCTTTACACACATTCTAAATTTTCACCCACTAGCCTTTGTAATTTTCTTTAGAATCTCCCACAACCCACAGTATCATCAGCAAAAAGTAACTGTGTCAATTCCCATTTTGAATTTGATTCCTATAATTTAATCCCACCCTCTCCCGAACCCCCTTTAGCATTTTACTTCTTTTACAACCCCATCTATAAATATATTAAACAACTATGGGGGACATTACACATCCCTGTCTAAGACCTACTTTTCCCGAGAAGTATTCTCCCTCTCTTCTACACACCCTAACCTGAGCCTCACTATCCTCAAAAAAGCCCCTTTATAGCATTAGTAACTTACCACCTATTCCATATACTTGCAACATCTGCCACATTGCTCCTCTATCCACTCAAATCTTTACCCTTTTCTAAATCCATAAATGCAATAAAAACTTGCCTACCTTTATCTAAATACTGTTCACATAATGCTTCAATGAAAACACTTGATCTACACATCCCTACCCACTCTGAAGCCTCCCTGCTCATCGCAATCCTACATTCTGTCTTACCTCAAATTCTTTCAATTATAACCCTACCGTATACTTTTCCTGGTATACTCAGTAAACTTATTCCTCTATAATTTTTGCATTCTCTTTTGTCCCCTTTCCCTTTATATAAAGGGACTATACATGCTCTCTGCCAATCCCTAGGTACCTTCCCCTCTTTCATACATTTATTAACCCTTTGAGGGTTTTCGTCGTACTAGTACGTTTTACGCGTAGGGGTTTTTGACGTACTAGTACTCATAAATTCTAGCGGCCTCAAATCTAGTGGGAGAAAGCTGGTAGGCCTTCATATGAAAGAATGGGTCTATGTGGTCAGTGTGCACAGTCTAAAAAAAATCCTGCAGCACACAGTGCATAATGAGAAAAAAAGAACTTTGACCATTTTTTTTAATAAATCAGCGACTTTTGCAGTGTAATTTTCGTATGGTATTTATTGTTGTTTTCTAGTTTTCTTGGTCTCATTTTATAGAATGGAATACATATTACAGAAATTGAGATGATTTTGACTGGTTTTACAAAGAAAGGTGCCTTGAAATTGAGCTCAAAGTAGCAGAAATGTTCGATTTTTACCAAACTTCAAAAGTAAACAAATCGTGCCAAGCATGCAATACACGTCAACTGGTGAGTCTAATATTCTTTCACAAGTGCACCAATAATATTTATACCATTTTTTACACTAATGCAGTAGTCTGCATAACAGTAAATTTTTATTTTTTGTGAAAATAAAAATTCAAAGTGGAAAAGCAAAAGAATATAAGAGGGGACTTGAGACATGACTAATGACTAGAGGAAATGTCTTTTTAGTGCCAGGAATGTCTTTCTTGTTTATTTGGACCCTATTCCGAAATTGGCATTCTTTTGAAATTTGTGGTAAAAATTGGCAAAATTCCCTAAATTCTGACCACTGTACGGGATAGTTGAATTTCAAAAATGAGGGGTTTTTCTTGCATCCATTCGATAGCAAAAATGGAGTTCTAGCGAAATTTTCATGTTTTTTGTCGACTAGAAACAGTGAAATTGGCCGAAAATGGGGCTCAAAGTGGGCAAAATCGCCGATGCGTAAACACGCCGAGACCGCTAACTTTGCGAGAGCATAATTCCGTAAATTTTCTATCAAATTTCAAACTTTTGGTGTCTTTATGATCGGGAAAAGATTCTCTATCTTTTCATAAGAGAAAATAATTTTTTTTTTTTTTAAAATTTGGCCGCCCTGAGAACGAGTTTCGGAGGGGGCCTGTCGACCCTCAAGGGTTAAATAAAAGTACCAACCACTCCAACCTATATCCCCCCCTGCTTTTAACATTTCTGTCATGATCCCATCAGTTCCAGCTGCTTTACCCCCTTTCATTCTACGTAATGCCTCACGTACCTCCACCACACTTACATTCTGCTCTTCTTCACTCCTAAAAGATGGTATACCTCCCTGGCCAGTGAAATGAAATTACCGCCTCCCTTTCTTCCCAACATTTAAAAGTTCCTCAAAATATTCTCGCCATCTACCTAATACCTCCCTCTCCCCATGTACTAACTCCCCTACTCTAAACCATACCCCGGCCGGGATTGAATCCGCAGTCATAGAGTCTCAAAACTCCAGCCCGTCGCTGGCTAACGCGACGGGCTGGAGTTTTGAGACTCTATGACCGCGGGTTCAATCCCGGCGGGGTATGTTTGTTTGCAATCGTGTCATTACGATTTCGTGAGTCCCCTACTCTGTCTTTAACTGACAAATCCGTACTTTCCCTAGGCTTTCTTAACTTGTTTAACTCACTAATAGTAATAGTTCTTGTTCTTATTATTTCCTTTGACCTCCATGGGGAAGTAGAATAAGTGTCCTACCTCTGTAAGCCAAGTGTGTTGTAAAAGCCACTAAAATGCCAGGACAAGGGGCTAGTAACCTCTTCTCCTGTATAGATTACTAAAAATAACTGGTTAGCTGGACTTGAGTCCTGGAGGTGGGAAATACAGCGCCTGCACTCTAAAGGAAGGATTTGTGATATTTCCTGTTTAGAGGGACACCTAAACTGTTGTATCTCTGCACCTCTGGCAAGTGAGAGATAGTGTGAATGATGGTGAAAGTGTTTCTTTTTTGGGTCACCCTGCCTCTGTGGGAGACAGCCAGCATGTTAAAAAAAATTGTTGTGCCTGGAAGAGAATAAACACAATCATTTATCACTTTTTTTAATCACATTCTTTGTAACTGAAACTTATTAAATAATAAATATATGAATATTTAACAATATTCTTAAAGCAATAAATTTGAACTTAATATTATTATGCTATTAATGATACAAAATTATACATTTGACAGGTAGGGCCAAATATTATTAAAGTTCTTCAACCACATGTAATAGAAGGAAGGTTTTGCCTTGCAGGCCGAAATATGTGCAGTGGATGGAGCTCTAGCATTTATCTGCAGCACGTTAACCTACAAGTCACAGTCCAAAACTCTAGCCATTGTTGAGAATGGAGGTGGAATACTCAGGAATATTTCTAGTCATATTGCTGTCAGAGAGGATCTTAGGTAAGTAGTAATTTATCATTTGGCCATGTTAAGAATTAAATTAACAGGTATGATTTTGAGGGGGTATTTATGTAATAAATGCTTTAGCAGAGAATCATATCAGGGATATTACTAGTATGATAAATGTGATATTTTAGACAGTGGGATGCCTGACACTTGATTTTCAGTGTGCGGCAAGAGCAGTCTTCTAAATTATACCAGTATCATAGAGAGAAGAGGATAATTTAATAATGCAACATAGGCAATGGATAATTTATTGTTCATATCAATTTGCAGTTTTTGGTTACAAAACCTAATGGATGCATAATTAATCTATTTAATAATTTTAGGGGACCTGAATACGATGGTAATTGAAAGTGATTGAAACAGAATGACATTTGTGAACATCATATTCTGTGTACTATATTTTAACATAGAAAATATTTATCATTGCATTTTTTGTTACAGGCAAGTGCTAAGGGAACACAATACATTGAGCACATTGTTAGGGCAGCTACGTTCACCAAGTCTAACTGTGGTGAGCAACGCCTGTGGAACACTTTGGAACCTCTCGGCAAGATGCAGTCAGGACCAGTGTATGTTGTGGGAACTTGGTGCTGTTCCAATGTTACGATCACTGATTAATTCAAAACATAAAATGATATCAATGGGCTCCAGCGCTGCTCTAAAGAATTTATTGCAAGCACGACCAGAGGGAATGTCTTTGACAGATCCTCGGCATGGCATGGGCTTGCCTTCCTTACAAGCCCGTAAACAGAAAGCTCTAAGAACAGGAATTAGACCCATCACTATCTGAGACATGTGAAACATTGAGACTTCCCCACGTTCTTCTCCAACTCTTCCTCAGGGTAGTGATCCACATTTTTTTTGGTCAGCCAGGAGATGCTTCCCAGTACTATCCAGGTACCAGACCCATGTTTCACTTCTTTGGACGCACAGTAAAATAATGTTTGCGATCTGAGAGTAGAAGACTCCATATCCTCAACCCTTTGATAATTCACACGATCGAATGAGGCAGCTGTTAATGAGGAAATCATCAAAGTAATCGTGAAGGCATTGGTAAAAATGGTAGACCTTTAGATTTATCACTTAGATCTATGGCACCTCCATCACATTGTGTTCCAGATATTGCACACATGAGCCAAGAGGAATTGCAGAGACATCTGGAATCAAAAGAATTTAATGGAAAGTGCTGATGAGATATTTGCTTCACGTGTTAGAAGCATGAAAGATGCATACAGCCGTCAACCTAGTGAATCAGTACCTTTTAGTGATAGTGTAAGTGGTAGTGCCAATATTAGCCGAAATGGGTCATTCCAAGCTTCAGGTCCACAACCACCATACAGTCCTCGTAGAAGGTCATCAAATACAAGTGAGGATGAGAGAAGTGGAACCGGAAGAAGTTTTGCCAGTGGCAAGCAACAGCAGCAGCAACCTCACAATGAAGCTCATTATAGTTACTATAGCAAATATGTGAATTATAGCCGCAACCTGGCAGAGGTAGACATCGAAAATGATGCCCAAGAAGAGCCTCTCAATTACAGCCTCAAGTGTGGTGCAGGAACAACAATGAAAACACCAACTAATGAGTCAATGGCTAATATAACACAGGGTACTGAAAGACCAGTACCTCAGATTGATAATTTAATGTGGTGGAGAAAAAGAAAACTAGAAAAGCAGAGCCACATCCTGAAGCTGAGAGAGAGCCAGAGAACTTCACTGGTTATACAGAAACAGACCTTGACCAGCCTACTAACTTCAGTCTAAGGTATGTTATCATCTAGGTTTGATAATACCTTTTTATGAAAACAATTTTTTTTTTCCCCCTTAAATTTTTGTGCTGTTCAGTAATTTTTCTTTATATTTCTTGCACCTTGCATACTTTTTTCTTTTCTAATATCTTGCTATTGGGTCAATATTTTGCCTTTGCCCTTTTATAATTAATTGTATTTAAGAAGAAGCATTGATAATTCATTGATGAAATATTCTATTATTTTTTTTAAAAATTACTAGAAAATATATTTAGTGATTTTTGTGTTTATCACCAATCACTTACCTTTTTGGTCGTGGAACAGTATGCTATTGGGTAAAATCTCTGGTACTGGTGGAGTTACCCGAAGCTAATCAGTAGCAGTGCGAGGGACCGGTACAAGGCAGAGAGAGCAACAGATCTCTGGATAATTTTGAGCAAAATGATGACTTTGAGTGGTTTGTAACTACTGTGATCTGCTGATAATCTTAGATTCGGTTTTTTCTGCCATGGGTTTTGTGCTAGATTGTTTTTACAATGTTTATACCTGTAATGCTGAGTATAGTGTCATGCTAAAAGTTTTTAGTCTGCTTTTGTCTTGGTTTGTGAGACCGTTTTAAGGAAAAATATTTTAGCACAAAAACCACTACTCTAATACTTGTTATATTCCCAAAAAAAATATGAAAAAATTAAACATTACAGATGTAATACTTTTCAGAGGGAACAAAAAATCAAAAGTGAATATAATTTCTTTACAGTTTATTTCTGCCTTTCTAAAAGTTGCTTCTCACTGTTAATTGAATATTGGCTGTAAAGCTGAGTGAAAACACCTTTACACTGAAAAGTCAGACACCAACTTTAATGTCTAAAAGTGTTGCGAGCATTTTGCATATTAATTCATGTTTGTCATATGTGTAAACTAATAACTTCTTGCTTCACCATAAAGTATATATTAATGTGGAGAATAAACACAAGAAAAAACTGATTAGTAAAATTATGGAATGTGTAAGATTGTACAATAGCATTTGTAGAGGTAATTTTAAAGAGGAAAAGCTTTATTTGTACCTACTGTATTTAAATTTACCACTATATATCCAAAAGATTTAGTTCAGAAATGGTGTTAGCATGATGGTTTGAAGCTAGTTGTGACTAATGTAAAGTGTTTAACTTTTTACCTAGAAATGCTGAGCTGTGATATTTAATTGACTTGTTTTAAAACTCTGTACAGGTATTCATATGATCTTAAGAATTACCACCTTATATACCGAGTATGATTAGCAGAAACAACTTTCTATTTTTATACCTAAAGATTTTAGTTTTTTTTAACAATAATTAGTCTGTATTTTTTTGTTTTTGCTTAATAAATATAAATAAAAACTATTTATTGCTAACTTTATAAATGTATATTCTTAGGCAGTATTTAGATGTCCAGGTTTCCAGTACCAGCATTCATCAAATTATTAGCAGTTCTATGTTAATACAGTGGAACCCCGGTTTTCATCTTTAATTCGTTCCAGAAGGTCGACTGAAAACTGATTGTACGAAAACTGAAGTAATATTTCCCATAAGAAATAATGCAAAAAAAAATTAATCCGTTCTAGACACCCAAAAATATTATAAAAAAATACATTTTATAGAGAATAACTACAGTTTTACATACAGAAAACAACGAGAAATAAATATAAAGCACTAATGAAATGGATAAATGAACATTTAAATCACTTGACCTTTGTTGAAGACTCTTGTTGCATATGGAAGATGGCAAGGAGGGGAGAGGGAGGAGAGGTTATCTCTACTCCTTCTACCACCATCACAACCACTATCACCCTCTTCCATTATCATTACCACCCTCTACCACCATCATTACCACCCTCTACAAGTAAACAAGTAACAAAGGCAGAATGAGTCACAAATGTATGAGCGGCCGAGTGTCGTGGGCAGGCAGACGCGTCTGGTATGGACGATTTCCAAGCAGATGTACAAAAATGGGGAAAATTTCGCTGAAAAAAAGTGGTCGAAAACTGAATTGTACGATAACCAGACTGGATGAAAATCAGGATTCCACTGTAAATGTTTCTTTGCCCTATTTTTAAAAGTTGCATAAATTTTGTTTGCCAAATTTAATTACATAATAACAAAAAATACAAGCAAGACAACAGTAAAATCCATATGGTTATCGATTCTATTTTATTTGTAATTAACAGCCTATTAGTATTTTAAAATTATAACTGTATACCACAATATAACTGTTTGTATTTTGTTTGTTTTTTACATTACCTGGCATGATAGTTAACCTTTTTATACAAAAGGGTCTATTCTTGCAGGTACTCTGAGGAACGAGATAGTGATGAAGCTGCCTTGTACCGGCGCCCTCCCAAGCCTCCACAAGAACCCACTTCTCAGTTCTTTGAACCTTCCTTTCATGATGACTCACTCAAGACGTACTGCACTGAAGGTACTCCATATGAAACTCCTTATAATTTCTCAACAGCTACTTCCATGACAGACCTCCGGGAACCAGCCATCAAAGAAGCGGAAAGAGAAGGCTCGCCAGCACCCAGTACAGATGAGGTGAGCTGTTTACAATGTACATTTGTGTGAGATTCATCATTTATTTATTTCCCAAATGAAGAATAAAAGTCAAAAAAATCAATCAAAGAAAATTCTTTAGACTATGTTTCTGTCTGACCTGGAAAATTGAGTCATTGGTGATTTGATATTGGTACTGGATGGATAAAAACATTTGAGTTAGATGTGAATTCTTAAATGAAATATGAATCAATATAATTTGTTATAATAAACACCAAATGTAAATTTCTTAATAAAGTGTATGTTTTATTATATCTAAAGAAAAAGAAGAAAATGAAAGCAAAGTTGAAAGCCTGAAAAATGTAGAAGATTCTGATGATGCAAAAGACACCCTTGAGCCACTACCATCGCACACTGGCCTCCCAGTTAAGAGTGGTTTGAGCTCTGGCATGATAACACCAGACAAACCTATTACATACTGTGTTGAAGGAACACCTGTTTGCCTCTCAAGATTCTCATCAGTTTCTTCATTAACAAGTGGAGAAATTAATGCTAATAATAATAGGTAAGATATTTAGAGGTTTTTGTATGATTTTAATGAGTACAACATATTTTATATTGGATATAATATCCTTAGTTTCATTGAAATCTTGGCTAAAGTTCTTTAGATTTCTTAAGGGTAAGTCATTCAGTATTAAAAGTGTATTAAGCTCACAGCATGCCCAAATTTTGGAAATGAAAGAAGTCCATCATTGAATATTATCACTTCATAAATAAACAATGCATCTCAGGTTTTTTTTTATATCATCATCCATCTCCTGCCAAGGCACACTAGCTGGATGTTTTTTAGAAAAAAACAAAACAAAACACCGAGTCGTTTATAAGATCATACTGAAATAAACATGAAAATTTACTATTATGATTCGATAATCTTCATTAAAAGTTTTTTCTGTCATACAGTTTGTGATAATAATAATAATAATAATAATAATAATAATAATAATAATAATAATAATAATGTAGGTTGACTTTTGTATATTATATGAAATATTTAATAATTTTTATATTAAGATCATTTTTATTATTTTTTTAAGTAAGGTTATTATTTTTCCACAGAGATGGTCTTTTGGGAGAGTTGTCAGTAGAAGGAGAGCACAAGCCTCAGGATACAAGCAGTGAGGAAAAGAAAGCCAGACAGGAGGAGTACCAAGGCGAGGAGATAGAGGATGCTCATAGAGATGGAAGTCACACTCCTTCATCCCAACATTTAGAAAGACCAGAGGGTGAGACTTGCCGGTCATCATATATTTACTATTCTAGCATAGTTTTTGTACAAAGTTAAATTTAAACTAAGTAATCACAATCTTGCATAAAATTCAGCTTGGTTCGGAGTAATAATGACAAGAATTATATAACACACTTTGTTGGAAGAAAAACAAAACAGACATGGCTTACACAAATTATGTAAAAACATTGGACAAATGCGAGCATGTATAGCAGTAATATCTCATAAAATAAAGTCCAGAGGTGTAACAGGTCAATCAGACAAGTGGATATTTCATTTTTTAATGAACTTGTTGAAAAAAATGATAAGTAAGTTAAAAACAAATCACACATAAGTGCACTAGAACCCTCAATTTGGCAAGGCACTGCCCTGGTACTGTACTCTCTCATCCTTATAGAAGACAAATCACAGCTTCAGTTTATTTTTATAAGATCATACTGAAATAAACATGAAAATTTTCTCAGTTTGCAACACTGAAAAATTCGTAAGTTGTGTGTTTGGAAGCAAGATGATCTGACTCTGGTTTCCTCTATACACATTCATAACTTTACTGCTTGTTACACAAAAAGTGACTGTCACTCCAAACCACTGACTTCCACTTTTCCTTGTCCCATTTAATGTATTACTTACAAAAAACTACTCTGTTGGCTCTTTCCTTACCAATGAGAAGTAGCTTGCATACAGTCTTGAAGGTATGATACCCTAACTTAATTGTGCAAATGGCATTGTACTGTCCTATCACTACACTTTTCTAGCAACTGGGGATTTAATAACTTCAACTTATGTGCAGTTAATGTAGGATTGTTCTCCAACTGTCTTTTAACCATCATGTATATCCTAGGACTAACAGACTTCACGCTCCCTGATCTTGGCTTTATGACTGGAATCTCTACCCCACCACTGTCATGGAAAAATCTCACCCATTTCTTCATGGCCCCTTTTTTACAGAGCCTCAAAAGCAGCAGTTTCACTTTTTTTTTTACTAATGTAGTGTTGTTATAGTGGCCTACAGATTACGTGTAATCTGTAGGCCACACACCATTATTGCAAATAATTGGCAAAACAAAACAAAGCTTAAAAACTTCAAAAACTAATAAATACTGGAGAGTAGATATTCAACAACACCTTCCCACAAAGACTAAATGACAACTGAGGTGCCACTTGGTAATATTTCCCACAGTCATATACTCAGTAGCCTTTGAGGATACAATAATTACAAAAGCTATTTATCCTTGAGGCAAATTTGGATATGAAGCAGTTTAAGTCAAATATTTGCACATGTGCATTCGAATTTACAATGCCCATTGTAATCATTTTAGAGAAATACATTTCCATGTAGAGAACTTGGCAAAGATTTGAATCAGATTAGAATTAAAGAAGGGAGTAATTATTTAAGAATGTATATAATAGAATTTTTTTTTTTCAACAAACCAGCTGTATCCTACCAAGGCAGGGTGGCCAAAAAGAAAAACGAAAGTTTCTCTTTTTAAATTTAGTAATTTATACAGGAGAAGGGGTTACTAGCCCCTTGCTCCTGGCATTTTAGTTGCCTCTTACAACACACATGGCTTACGGAGGAAGAATTCTGTTCCACTTCCCCATGGAGGTAAGAAGAAATAAACAAGAACAAGAACTAGTAAGAAAATAGAAGAAAACCCACCGGGTTGTGTATATATATATGCTTGTACATGTATGTGTAGTGTGACCTAAGTGTAAGTAGAAGTAGCAAGACATACCTGAAACCTTGCATGTTTATGAGACAGAAAAAAGGACACCAGCAATCCTACCATCATGTAAAACAATTACAGGCTTTCATTTTACACTCACTTGGCAGGACGGTAGTACCTCCCTGGGCGGTTGCTGTCTACCAACCTACTACCTAGGATAATAGAAATATAGTATTTAAATATTAAGTAAATAGCAATTGTAACAAAGAAATAAATAGTAAAACATAAATTTAAGTAACATAAGAGATGCCATTCATCATTATTAAGAGTACATTGGACTGCAATGTACATAGGAAATAAGCTTTATTATTAGACCAAAGATTTTGTCATTATATCTCAATGAGCATAACTTTTTTTAAGGGAACCAATATCTAGCCGAATTCATCAACTCTAAAGTACTGTAACTGACTTTTCTTTTTTACAGCCAACTGTAATTTGCAAGAATTTCCATATTTTCAAATATTTAAGAATTTTTGTTTTATTTTTGCTGAATAAGATTATTCTTTAGTAAAAACAATAGCAGTATATTTGAGTATGTATGTATGTATGTATGCCTGCACTCTGAAGGAGGGGTGTTAATGTTGCAGTTTAAAAACTGTAGTGTAAAGCACCCTTCTGGCAAGACAGTGATGGAGTGAATGATGGTGAAAGTTTTTAATTTTCGGGCCACCCTGCCTTGGTGGGAATCGGCCAGTGTGTTAATAAAAAAAAAAAAAAAATAATAATATTGCTATAAATTAGCATTTTTGTTTCTTGCAGGAAAGAGTGTCCACTATGAAGAGACGCCTCTCATGTTTTCTCGAGCCACTTCTGTTTCATCACTAAGTAGCTTTGAGGTTCAGTCCATCCATGATGACCACAGCTCTGTTGTTTCAGACTTCAGGTACAGTATAGAAAATGAATTAATTTATAATTGATGCAGCATGCATAAAGTAAAGGCTGAGAAGCATAATTTTCAAAATGGAATACTTAAAGTAAATTTGCATAAGGAGAAAGTAGAGGTAAGAAAATTAAAAATATAGAGAGGGAAAAATAGCATGGTATGTTATGCCCCCTATGATTTTATAATACAGTAGGGCCCCACTTATATGGCGGGTTAGGTTCCAGGCTATCGCCGGAAAGCAGACATCGCCGGAAAGCAGAACGCTATTTTTTCCGTTTATAAATGCCAGACAACAAGTTTACTCTATACTATATTAAGTTAATAATAGAACTGGGCATTAAAAAACACAAAAACTAAAATACATACACAGTACACTCATTACTTATCTTAAAGTATTTGTAATTTTAATGTAGTGCGAGAGGTGAGTTGCACTTATTTGTAGGAAGTCAGGTGTAGGTAGCCCTGGTTCCCCATCTCACACTTAATATATTTAAAACAGCCCAGAGAGGTAAAATACACATACAGTACACTCATTATTTACCTTAAAATATGTGTAGTCTTAATGTAGGAAGAGAGGTGAGTAGTATTTATTTGTAGGAAGTCAGTGTAGGTAGCCGGTAGGTGTAGCCTGCCTGGGCTACACCTACCGGCTACCTACACTTTAGATGCCATCATAAACGAAGGGAGAAGTAATGAATAATTCATCCCGAAAATTGTAAACAAAAGCGGAGTGGGGGAGTGGCTGGGCCAAACACAGATTCATACACGTTTTTCTCTGGTGACTGAGCAGAGAAAACGTAATGTTGTCCCTCCGCCCGGCTACCACACAGGTCCACAAGTATTATTATCAGAGCACATACAAAATATGCAGTAAATGTCAGACAACAAGTTTATACTAACTTATATTATAAAGTTAGCAATAGAAATAGGCATTAAAAATGCAATAAAAGGTAAGATACAAACAGAGTACACTTATTACTTACCTTAAAATATTAATATTAATCTGTGAGAGGCGAGTGGCAGGGTGTTTATTGAATAAAATCAGAATGGCACACCATCATCCTCTAACTTGGCACTTAAAGCATGTACATGTTGTACAAGTTAGTATAGAATAAACAAACAGCAACACACCATTTTTAGAGTGAATGAAGATATTATTATTGTTATTATTATTATTATTATTATTATCATCATTATAAAAAGCACTAAACCCACAAGGGTCATGAATTGCTATATATAGAGTGAAGGCATACGAAAAGAATATTTTTCTACAGTTATCCCCCAGTGTTTGACTAGAGAAAACGTAATTCTTCCGACACTACCTACACAGCTGCTTTGTAAACAAATCTCATATTTACGTCAGTTTTTATTCTGTGAGTGTATGTATCATGTTCATGTGCTATGTAATGGGTTTCATATGTAATTTTGAGGAAAATATAGATGGATTAATGAAAATGCCTATATTAATGTAAAATAAGACATTTAATGTGCCCAAGAGTGATCATTATTACGTTGTATTGGCGTCATGAATAGAGAGACTTAGCGATTTTAATGTGTACTTGCACACCAGCACATTGTGTAAGTATATTTAGGTACAGGTACACATAAATATAATTATCAGAGTACATGTAAAATATGCAGTAACTTTAAAACACTTGAAATTTTGGAAAGTTTCCTGACATAATAGATGTCACCGAGAATGTAAACAAACCAGGTGGGGCGCACCGTATTTGAAAGACCGCTTGCCGTATAGCAAATTTTGGTCATAATTTGACATCGCCGTATTAGCGGAATGCTGTAAGGCAAAACGCCGTAAAGCGGGGCATTACTGTATGCAGTTTATACAGGTTGAGTATCCCTTATCTGAAATTCGAAAAGCTCTGAAATCTGAAGCTTTATCGAGTGCTGATATGATACCACAAATGGAAAATTCCATTCATAAGAATATAAGAATGGAGGAACACTGCATCAGGCCTACTAGCCCATACATAACACTTGGGAGGTTCCCAAGTGTTATGCAATCTTTGCATACCCATACAGTTGCAATACGTGACCTCACACACCCTGGGTGGGGCTCTGACACTCTCTTGGTGCCGGTTTGTTAGCATCAGTCATCACTGCCAGACCTACTTGCATTAAACACTGTGAATACCTGTTTTGTGATTATTCTCTGCTCTGTGGTGCAAAGATACTGTTGAAAATGTCAAAAAGATCTACAGATATCCCTATGGGTAACAGGAATAAGAAAAAAGTAATGTAATTAAAACAAGAGATTGTAGATGGAGACTGAAAGTCTGCCTTTGATGGCTGTTGTTATTTTTTAACAGGTATTCAGCAGATGCTGCTGTGTTGGTTTTGTTAATAAAAATATTGTATAAAACCATTTTCAGCCTATGTGTATAAGTTCTCCATGGGGAAGTGGAACAGAATTCTTCCTCCGTAAGCCATGCGTGTCGTAAGAGGCGACTAAAATGCCGGGAGCAAGGGGCTAGTAACCCCTTCTCCTGTATATATTACTAAATTTGAAAGGAGAAACTTTCGTTTTTCCTTTTGGGTCGCCCCACCTCGGTGGGATACGGCTGGTACGTTGAAAGAAAGAAGAAAGTGTATAAGTTGTATATGAAATTTATAAATGGATTTCATGTTTAGGCTTGGGGGTCCCATCCCCAAGCTATCTCATATTCCAGATTCCAAAAAAATTCTGAAATCTGAGACACTTCCAGCCCCAAGCACTTTGGTTATATAAGGAATACTCAAGGTATATACAGTTATGCAGTGCCGGGAAGGGCATTGCCTGCATTCTGAAAAAGGGGGTGGGGATGTTGCAGTCAGAGGGTAATCTGAATTGTGATACCAGTAAACTTCTGGTAAGGCAGCGATTGAATGGATGATGGTGAATGTGTTAACTCTTTTTTTGGGTCACCCTACCTTTGTGGGAAATGGCCGTTATGTTAAAATAAGCTGTATATAAATAAATAAATACTTTCATTGTTGAATTTACTCACATTAAACTTATAAGCATCACATGTCTTGTCGTTTAACTTTTGCATTCAAACCTGTATGTAGTGTAAGTAAATGTCAGTACATATTACATGTAATAAAAAAGATGCAGCATTCATGTGTATTTATACATCATGTCACTAATAATAAATATTTTCCTTTTTCCAACAGTCGGTTTACCAGTGGTGCAATATCCCCAAGTGACCTTCCAGATTCCCCAAATCATACAGTTCCACCAAGTCCAAAAAGGTCTCGGCCTCCTTCACAACCCTTTAAACCACCACCAACCCAAGGTTAGCTATAAAAAAAAAATTATATTCTCATCTGTCTTCAGAAAATCTATAAAACTAGGGATTAATCCGGAAATTTTTTTGAAATTTTTACTTTATTACATATATTAATTAATGTTATTAGTATGTACATTAGCAATACTTATGTGCTTTGAGTATAATGTGATAAACCACACTTTTTTGGAAGCAACCAACTTATAAATTCCTCAAGAGGTTTATTAAGCATAACTTGTAAACACATGACTCATGAAATCGTAATGACACGATTGCAAACAAACCATACCATGGGTGGGATTTGAACCCGAGTTTTGAGACTCTCTGACCGCAGGTTCAAATCCCGCCCGTGGTATGGCTTTTTTTTTTTTTTCCCCCCAACAAGCCGGCCGTCTCCCACCAAGGCAGGGTGACCCAAAAAAGAAAGAAAATCCCCAAAAAGAAAATGCTTTCATCATCATGCAACACTTTCACCACACTCACACATAATCACTGCTTTTGCAGAGGTGCTCAGGATATAACAGTTTAGAAGCATATATGTATAAAGATACACAACATATCCCTCCAAACTGCCAATCTCCCAAACCCCTCCTTTAAAGTGCAGGCATTGTACTTCCATTTCCAGGATCAAGTCCGCTATATGAAATAACGGGTTTTCCCGAATCCCTTCACTAAATATTACCTGCTCACACTCCAACAGATCATCAGGTCCCAAGTACCATTCGTCTCCATTCACTCCTATCTTAACACGCTCACGCACGCTTGCTGGAAGTCCAAGCCCCTCGCCCACAAAACCTCCTTTACCCCCTCTCTCCACCCTTACGAGGACGACCCCTACCTCGCCTTCCTTCCCCTATAGATTTATATGCTTTCCATGTCATTCTACTTTTATCCATTCTCTCTAAATGACCAAACCACCTCAACAACCCCTCTTCAGCCCTCTGACTAATACTTTTATTAACTCCACACCTTTTCCTAATTTCCACACTCTGAATTTTCTGCATAATATTTACACCACACATAGGTAGTAGGTTGGTAGACAGCAACCATCCAGGGAGGTACTACCGTCCTGCCAAGTGAATGTAAAACAAAAGCCTGTAATTGTTTTACATGGTGGTAAGATTGCTGGTGTCTTTTGTCTGTCTCATAAATATGCAAGATTACAGGTATGTCTTGCTACTTCTACTTACACTTAGGTCACACTACACATACATGTACACGTTTATTTATACACACTCATCTGAGTTTTCTTTGATTTTATCTTTAAAAGTTCTTGGTTTTTTTTACTTTTCCTTTTATATCCATGGGGAAGTGGAATAAGAATTTTCCTCCCTAAGCCATGCGTGTTGTAAAAGTCAACTAAAATGCCGGAACAATGGGTAGTAACCCCTTTTCCTGTAAAGATTACTAAAAAGAATAAGAAGGGAAAAAAATTGTCAAAGTGGGAAGTCTGAATGTGCGTGGATGTTGCAAATGATAAGAAAGAGATGATTGTGGATGTTATGAATGAGAAGAAGTTGGATGTCCTGGCTTTAAGTGAAACGAAGCTGAAGGGGGTGGGAGGTTTCAATGGAGAGGAATAAATGGGATTAGGTCAGGGGTTTCAAATAGAGTTAGAGCTAAAGAAGGAGTAAACAATAATGTTGAACGATAAGCTATGGCAGGAAAAGAAGGACTATAAATGTATTAATCAAGGATTATGTGGAGTAAAATAAAGATTGGATTGAAAAGTGGGTTATAGTTAAGCGTGTTTTGCACCTGGAGAAGAAAGAAGTGTGGAGGAGAGAAGATTTTGGGAAATGTTGAGTGAATGCGTGGGGAGTTTTGAATCAAGTGTGAGAGTAATGGTGGTTGGGGATTTAAATGCTAAAGTGGGTAAAAATTTATGGAGGGAGTAGTAGGTAAATTATTTGGGGTGCCAGGTGTAAATGTAAATGGGGGGCCTTTAATTGAGCTATGTGTAGAAGAGATTTGGTAATAAGTAAAAACATATTTTATGAAAAGAGGATAAAAATATACAAGGTTATGATGTAGCACGTAATGAAAGTAGTTTGTTAGATTATTTTATTGGTGATAAAAGGTTGATGGGTAGGCTCCAGGGTGTACATGTTTATAGAGGGGCAACTGATATATCGGATCATTATTTAGTTGTAGCTACAGTTAGAGTAAGAGGTAAATGGGGGAAAAAAGGAAGGTGGGCAACAACAAGTAAGAGGGAGGTGAAAGTGTATAAATTAAGGGAGGAGGAAGTTGGGGGATATAAGCGACTGTTGGCAGAAAAGGGGGGCTAGTGCAAAGATGAGTATTGGGGGGGGTAGAAGAGGGTTGGAATAGTTTTAAAAATGCAGTATTAGAATTGGGGCAGAAGTTTGTGGTTATAGAAGGGTGGGGGCAGGTGGAAAGAGGAGGTTGGTGGAAAGATGAAGTAAAAGGGGGTGATTAAAAGAGAAAAAGTTAGCTTATGAGAGGTTTTTTACAAAGCAGAAGTGTTAAAGAAAAGCAGAGTATATGGACAGTAAAAGAAAGGTGAAGAGAGTGGTGAGAGAGTGCAAAAGGAGAGCAGATGATAGAGTGGGAGAGGCTCTGTCAAGAAATTTTAATGAAAAAAAGAAAAAAATTTGGAGTGAGTTAAACAAGTTAAGAAAGCCTAGGGAAAGTATGGATTTGTCAGTTAAAAATAGAGTAGGGGAGTTAGTAGATGGGGAGAGGTTTAACGAAAGGATTATTGGTCTTCTGGTAGCGGGTGTTAATGATATTTCTTCGGGGCTTCTTATTTATTGAAAGGTCGTGGTGGGTACACAAGGTTGTGTGTTTGTGCCCATGGCCCGGGCAGGGCCATCCCACGAGAGAGAGCTAGGAGTACTTGTGTCTTCCTGCTAGGCCGCTGTGTGAGTGAGGCAGAGGCAAGGGCAGGCAGGCTGGCATGCCCACCGAGAGGCCTGGCTACAGAGGGGAGCACCTGAGTGGCACGAAAAAATGAACTAAGCTGGCAGACAGCATGGGCTGTCTGTGCAGACAGTACAGGCTGTCTACAGAGGGAGGTATTAGGTAGATGGCGAGAATATTTTGAGGAACTTTTAAATGTTGAGGAAGAAAGGGAGGTGGTAATTTCATGCACTGGTCAGGGAGGTATACCATCTTTTAGGAGTGAAGAATGAGCAGAATGTAAGTGTGGGGGAGGTACTGAGGCATTACGTAGAATGAAAGGGGGTAAAGCAGCTTTGGGAAAGATGGGATCATGACAGAAAATGTTAAAAGCAGGGGGGGGATATAGTGTTGGAGTGGTTGGTACTTTTTGTTTAATAAATGTATGAAAGAGGGGAAGGTACCTAGGATTGGCGGAGAGCATGTATAGTCCCTTTATATAAAGGAAAGGGGACCAAAAGAGATTGTAAAAATTATAGAGGAATAAGTTTATTGAGTATACCAGGAAAAATGTATGGTAGGGTTATAAAATTGAAAGAATTGAGGTAAGAAAAAGAATGTAGGGTTGCGGAAGAGCAAGGAGGTTTCAGAGTGGGTAGGGGATGTGTAGATCAAGTGTTTACATTGAAGCATATATGTGAACAGTATTTAGATAAAGGTAGGGAAGTTTTTATTGCATTTATGGATTTAGAAAAGGCATATGATAGAGTGGGTAGGGGAGCAATGTGGCAGATGTTGCAAGTATATGGAATAGGTGGTAAGTTACTAAATGCTGTAAAGAGTTTTTATGAGGATAGTGAGGCTCAGGTTAGGGTGTGTAGAAGAGAGGGGACTACTTCCCGGTAAAAGTAGGTCTTAGACAGGGATGTGTAATGTCACCATGGTTGTTTAATATATTTTTAGATGGGGTTGTAAAAGAAGTAAATGCTAGGGTGTTCGGGGGGAGGGGTGGGATTAAATTATGGGGAATCAAATTCAGAATGGGAATTAACACAGTTACTTTTTTGCTGATGATACTGTGCTTATGGGAGATTCTAAAGAAAAATTGCAAAGGTTAGTGGATGGGGTTTGGGAATGTGTATAAAGGTAGAAAGTTGAAAGTGAACATAGAAAAAAGTAAGGTGATGAGGGTATCAAATGATTTAGATAAAGAAAATTGGATATCAAATTGGGGAGGAGGAGTATGGAAGAAGTAAATGCTTTCAGATACTTGGGGAGTTGACGTGTCGGCGGGTGGATTTATGAAGGATGAGGTTAATCATAGAATTGATGAGGGAAAAAAGGTGAGTGGTGCATTGAGGTATATGTGGAGTCAAAAACGTTTTTCTATGGAGGCAAAGAAGGGAATGTATGAAAATATAGTAGTACCAACACTCTTATATGGGGGGTGAACTTGGGTGGTAAATGCAGCAGCGAGGAGACAGTTGGAGGCAGTGGAGATGTCCTGTCTAAGGGCAATGTGTGGTGTAAATTTATGCAGAAAATTCGGAGTGTGGAAATTAGGAAAGGGTTGGAGTTAATAAAAGTATTAGTCAGAGGGCAGAAGAGGGGTTGTTGAGGTGGTTTGGTCATTTTTGAGAGAATGGATCAAAGTAGAATGACATGGAAAGCATATAAATCTATAGGGGAAGGAGGCAAGGTAGGGGTCGTCCTCGAAAGGGTTGGAGAGAGGGGGTAAAGGAGGTTTGTGGGCAAGGGGCTTGGACTTCCAGCAAGCGTGCGTGAGCGTGTTAGTAGGAGTGAATGGAGATGAATGGTACTTTGGGGCCTGACGATCGTTGGAGTGTGAGCAGGGTAATATTTAGTGAAGGGATTTAGGGAAACCAGTTATTTTTCATATAGTTGGACTTGAGTCCTGGAAAGGGAAGTACAATGCCTGCACTTTAAAGAAGGGGTTTGGGGGATTGGCAGTTTGGAGGGATATGTTGTTTTATTTTATACGTACAGTGGTCCCTCAATAATCGACCGGCCTGAAAGTCGACCATTCGGAAATCAACCGGTTTTTTTCGACAAAATATTGACTCGGAAATTGACCGAAATTCGTTTATCGACCGGTCTCGACCCGTCATCCAGACGCGTATGCAGGAGGTAAGCGGGCCTCGACCCGCCTCAGCCTTCCTTCCCAAACCATTGTGCCATTGTTACCAGTTTAGCGGCGGTCCCCTCACGTGCTCCAGTGAAATATTTCATAATATTTATTTTAGTGCTTGCAAGTTATTTTAAGTGCTAAATAAGCTACCATGGCTCCAAAGAAAGCTCCTAGTGCCAAACCTTTGGTAAAGAAGGTGAGAAAAAACCATTGAATTAAGAAAACATCATTGAACAATATGATAGTGGCGTACGTGTGGGCGAACTGGCGAGGATGTATAACAAAAATAATTCAACCAAATCTTCCATCATAGCCATGAAAAGGAAATCAAGGACGCTGTTTGTTGCAAAGGGGGTAAATATGCTTTACAAAAAATGAGATCACCAGTACTGGAAGAGGTTTGAGAAGTTATTATTGGTATGGATTTAAATGAGAAAAAAAATTAGCAGGAGACAGTCTTATGACCTCGATTATTTGTGAAAAGGCTAGGCAGTTGCATGAAGATTTGGTAAATAAATTGCCTGCAAATAGTGGTTTAAGTGAGTGATTTTAAGGCCAGCAAAGGCTGGTTTTAGAGATTTAAGAAGCGTACTGGCATACACGTGTTTGGGAAGGGATGGTGAGGCTGCCAGTTCGGACCACAAGGCGGCTGAAAAATATGTGCATGAATTCCAGGAGTACATAGAGGCTGAAGGACTGAAACCTGAACAAGTGTTCAATTGTGACGAAACAGGCCTCTTCTGGGAAAAAAATGCCAAAGAGGACCTTCATTACACAAGAGGAAAAGTCAATGCCAGGACACAAGCCTATGAAAGACAGGCTGACGCTAATGTTCTGTGCTAATGCTACTGGGGATTTCAAAGTGAAAACCGTAACTAGTGTACCTTCTAAATCCCAGAGCATTTAAGAAAAATAATGTTATGAAGAGTAAATTGTGTGTGTTTTGGAAATCTAATAATAAGGCATGGGTCACGAGGGAAATTTTTGAAGAGTGGTTCAACGAAGTGTTTGGCCCTAGTGTGAAGAATTACCTCCTGGAGAAGAAATTGGATCTCAAGTGCCTGCTAGTAATGGACAATGCACCTGGGTCATCCACCAAACTTGGATGACCTAATTCTGAAGGAGTTTGGGTTATCTCAGTAAAGTTCTTGCCCCCGAATACCACTCCTCTCCTCCAACCCATGGACCAGCAGGTCATTGCAAACTTTAAAAAACTGTACACCAAAGCAATGTTTGAAAGGTGCTTCAATGTGATCTCAAAACACTCACTTGACCCTACGAGATTTTTGGAAAGAACATTTCAGTATTTTCCATTGTGTAAGCCTTATAGGTAAGGCTTGGGAGGGAGTGTCTACCAGGACTTTGAACTCTGCTTGGAGAAAATTGTGGCCCGATTGTGTCGACAAGAGGGATTTGGAAGGGTTTGGGGCTGACCCTGATGAGCCTATGTCAGTTTTGAAAATCTATTGTGGCACTGGGGATTCCATGGGGTTGGATGTGAGTTTGAGGATGTGGAAAAGTTGGTGGAGGACCACAAAGAAGAGCTAACCATGAGGAGCTGCAAGAGCTTCAGCGGAAGAGCAACAGATCGCAGCTCAGAATCTTGCTGCAGAGGAGGAGGAAGAAAAGATGGAAGAAGGTGCCTTCTTCAGAAATTAAGGAGATTTTTTACTATGTGGGGTAAGATGGAAAGATTTATGGAGAAACATCACCCAGAGAAGGATGTTGCAAGCCATATCGGCAACTTGTACAGTGACAGAGTCTTGGCCCCTTTTAGGGAAGTTTTAAAGAGACCCAGAAACAGAGCTCTCTGCACAGTTATTTTGCGAGACAGGACTCCCGTGACTCTCAAGCTGGGGCCTAGTGGCATTTAAGAAACAGAGAAAAGAAGCAACCCCAGAAAAGCAATTGGTACCTGAGGTGTTGCTGGAAGGGGATTCCCCTTCCAAAAATATAAACAATTTCCCCTCTCCTCCTCCTCCTCCAGTCTCCCATACACTAAGAAGAATCTCCAATAAAGGTAAGTGTTATGCTGTTAATGTTTCATTCATCATTTCCCATTGTATTGTTTATGTACTACATGAATATTTCATGTAAAAAATTTTTTTGTTTTAATACTTCTGGGTGTCAGGAACGGATTAATTGAATTTACATTATTTCTTATGGGGAAAATTGATTCGTAAATCGACCATTTCGATAATCGACCGGCTTCCAGGAACGGATTACCGTCGATAATCGAGGGACCACTGTATATGCTTCTAAACTGTTGTATTCTGAGCACCTCTGCAAAAACAGTGATTATGTGTGAGTGTGGTGAAAGTGTTGAATGATGATGAAAGCATTTTCTTTTTGGGGATTTTCTTTCTTTTTTTGGGTCACCCTTCCTCGGTGGGAGACGGCCAACTTGTTGAAAAAAAAAAAAAAACATTGCCCTTAGACAGGATATTTTAATAATGTGTTATAAAGTAAGCTTGAATAATTTTTTAGTCAAATCTGAGAGAGTTTTGTAGATATATATTGTTTCCTTATATTTTACTTTCTTTTTGGGTCACCCTGCCTCGGTGGGAAATGGCCAACGTGCTAAAAAAAATTTCAAGTGGTATATTCATAACCCATGCTTGTTGTGAAATGAAACAAACGTATCTGGTACATACAATCCTGAATATGTGTAGTAAACTATGATAGTCATAGTACTTGATGGTTTTTACAATTAGTGTTTAGGTTTCAGGGAATGTAATGAGTTTCTTCAGAAGGGTCCTGATCAGTTTCATTTAAATAGCTGCATTAGCAACATTGCCTGATTAAGTATCACCAAGATAGCTTGGCCTCGGGACTAGCTGCAAAGGTTGAATACTTTTCCTTATTGTTTATAAGCTGTTTATAGGATGATGGAATAAAAAGATGGTGCTTCAATGTTAATGTTATGTAAAGAAAGTAGTCATTGTTAGGCACAGCAATATACAAATTTCCATGAATATTCTTGCATATGGGAGTGAACCAGTTTACTGCTAGTATTGTAACTAGTATTTAAAATATTATTATTTGTTACCTGTTTAATTGTATGACCCCCCAGGGCCAAGAACAAGTACAGGAGTGTTTAGTGAGGCTCCAAGAGCATGGGTAGAGGAAGGCACTCCAGTTGAATTCTCCCGAGCCACTTCATTGTCATCACTCACAGTTGATGATGATCTTCCCATATTAGATGATGGTGTCCCCAGGGTTAGTTTCTTAACATTATGCAAATCTAGCTAACCTGGATTATTCTTATTTCATCTTGCTTTCATTGTGAAATATTCTTTTCTTTGTATAATACTGATCACTCATTTAATTGTATTAGTTTATCCAAGTATTTACTTTTTTTATTATTAATTACTTCATCTAACTATTAATATCACTGAGCTTTTGCTATTTCTCAAAATAATGTATGGCGCAGTATAATTTTTTATCAAGTTACCTTGTCTTTTTTTTCCATATCTTGAACCTCTCCAGTATATCCAGTTTTCCTGTACATAAGTAGAGAAATTTCATATAGTAGGGTAAGCCATTGATTGTGTTCCTAGCTATAAACTTTCAGTTGTGAATGTAGAATGCTGGCATGTCAGCCAGGTAACTTACGAAAGGATTCAAGGAAACTGATTAACTGGACTTTAGTCTAGGAAGTGGGAAGGGCTGTTCCTACACTTTGAACAGGGGGTGAGGATGTGGATGAAAAGACCCTAGTGCATGCACTTAGGACATCATATCCAAGTTTCGGTCCAGGAACTCGGCACACTTTTCATGGTTGATATGCCTTCTCTTCTTAAGACTTTTAATATTAAAGTTGTATTCAAAAATCTTGATACAGTAAAAAAACTTTTGATTAAGAATTCCCCCCAAAATGCTGATGGATGTGTCTATAAGATTCCTTGTAAAATTTGCGATAAAGTTTATTACGGTCAAACTGGTAAAAATCTCGAACTAAGATTAAAACAACATAAATATAGCATTAGAACTGGACAAGATTCCAATGCTCTATTTATTCATGTAAGAGATTTTAACCATCCAATTGATTTTCAAAAAGTTGAGAAAGTAGTATCAAGCAAGTCCATGGTCGACAGGAATATAATTGAATCTTGTTTCATAAAAAGCAGTTTTGACAATAATATGAATATTTCCTTTGGTTCATATAAATTAGATCCATTTATAATTAATAGAATTTGGGTAGAATTTAATAATACACTGGACAAATAAATAGCTTGGGGGTGAGTTTTGCAAAGGACCTGTCCAAGTTGGCTCGCCGCGCGTCACGTGTTTAACCGTTGTGGGATCTGATAGTGAGGTGCTGGCCGACCCCTTATATAGCTTCCTTGGATGCTTCATTTTCATAGTTCCTTGATAATGTGAGTAGTCACGAAAGCGCTTGGAATTTCTCTATTCTTTCAGAGTGGTTGTTTTTTCATATTTTGAAATCACCTGTTTACTGTGATCTTTTTTGCATATATATATATATATATATTACATATTTTATATATATATATATATAAAATATATATATATATAATATATATATATATATATAATATTTTATATATATATATATATATATATATATAATTTTTTTTTTTTTTTTTTTTTTTTTTTTTTTTTTTTTCAACAAGTCGGCCGTCTCCCACCGAGGCAGGGTGACCCAAAAAAGAAAGAAAATCCCCAAAAAGAAAATACTTTCATCATCATTCAACACTTTCACCACACTCGCACATTATCACTGTTTTTGCAGAGGTGCTCAGAATACAACAGTCTAGAAGCATACACATATAAAGATACACAACATATCCCTCCAAACTGCCAATATCCCAAACCCCTCCTTTAAAGTGCAGGCATTGTACTTCCCATTTCCAGGACTCAAGTCCGACTATATGAAAATATATATATATATAGATATATAATTGGCAGAGAGCATGCATAGTTCCTTTGTATAAAGGCAAAGGGGACAAAAGAGAGTACAAAAATTATAGGGGGATAAGTTTGTTGAGTATACCTGGTAAAGTGTATGGTAGAGTTATTATTGAAAGAATTAAGAGTAAGACAGAGAATAGGATAGCAGATGAACAAGGAGGCTTTAGGAAAGGTAGGGGGTGTGTGGACCAGGTGTTTACAGTGAAACACAAAAGTGAACAGTATTTAGATAAGGCTAAAGAGGTCTTTGTGGCATTTATGGATTTGGAAAAGGCGTATGACAGGGTGGATAGGGGGCAATGTGCAGTGTTGCAGGTTTATGGTGTAGGAGGTAGGTTACTGAAAGCAGTGAAGAGTTTTTACGGGGATGGGGAGGCTCAAGTTAGAGTATGTAGGAAAGAGGGAAAATTTTTTTCCCAAAAAAGTGGGCCCCTTAGCAAGGATGTGTAGGGGTCACCGGGGGTTTTAAAATATATTTTAGTTTGGGAAAGAAAGAAAAGTAAAGGCGAGGGTGTGGCAAGGGGGTTTGGAAATTTTAAAAGATAAAGAATCCCCTTTTAAAAAGTGGGATTTGGGTCACAGTTGCTTTTTTGCTGATGACACTGTGCTTTTTGGGGATTCTGAAGAGAATTTTCAGAGTTTGGGGTTGGATAATTTGGTGGGGTATGAAAAAGAAGAAAAAATTAAAAGGAAAAGGGGGAAAGATTTAAAGGTTATGGGGGATAACAAAAAAAATTAGGTGATAAAAGGATTGGATATTAGATTGGAGGGAGAAGTATGGAGGAGGTGAATTTTTATTCAGATATTTGGGGTAAACGTTTCAGCGGATGGGTTATAAAGTTTGAGGTGAATCATAGAATTGTTTGGGGGGGAAAAAGGTGAGTGGGCACTTAGGAGCCCTGTGGAGACAAAGAACTTTGTTTGGGAGGAAAAGGAGGGGAAGTATGGGGAAGTATGTTTTCCCAATTCTCTTAAAAGGGGTGTGAACCCTGGGTGATGAATGTTCCCAGCGGGGGAAAAGGGCGGGAGGCAGTGGAGATGTCATGTCTGAGGGCAATGTGTGGTGTGAATATAATGCAGAAAATTTAATAGTTTGGAAGTTGGAGGGAGGTGCGGGATTCCCAAAACCTGTTTTGTCCAGGGGGCTGGGGAAAGGGGTTTGGTTGAGGTGGTTCGGACATGTAGAGAAAAAGGGGACAAAACGAATGACTTCAAGAGTGTATCATCTGAAGGGGAAAGGGGAAAGGGGGATAGGATTTGGGCCTAGGAAAGGTTGGAGGGGGGGGGAAATGGAGGTTTTGTGTCCCGGGGGGTTTGATTTCCCAGGGGGGGGAAGGGGGGGGGGGGGGGGGGGGTGTTTGAAGGATTTGGAGGGAGACGGGGTTTTTTTAATACTTGTTTTCTTTGGATTTGGGGAAAAAATTTAACTTTTATAAAGGGGGTTAAAGGGAAAACCCGGGCAGGGGACTTGAGTCTGGAGAGGGGAAAAGTCCCAGTCCTCATTTGAAGGGGGGGGTGTTAATGTTGAATTTTTAAAAATGTATGAAAAAGGCACCCTTCTGGCAAGACATGTTTTGGAAAGTGAATGATGGTGAAAGTTTTTTTCTTTTTGGGGGCCACCTGCCTTGGGGGGTTTGGGCCAGATGATAATAATAATAATAAAAAAAAGGGTTTAAAGGGTTAAATTAAGAGAAAAGTCATGATAGGGAAAAGTAAATTTCTCTCTTTTATACTACATATGTTGCCCCCGAAGAGTTGTTTAGTTTGAAGGGTTTGGGACTTGAAGCGGGTTTTGGGCGAGTTTTTTTTGGGATAAAAGTGAGGGAAATTAAAGTGATTGAGTGGTTTTTACTGGGGCGGTGGGGGGCTGGGGCAACGCTTATGAAGGGATTCATGAAACCCTTGTTAGTTGGATTTGATTTAGGGAAAAGCGCAAAGCACTTTCCCTTTGCTCTGAAAAAGGGTTGATCTTTTTCGGTTTGATCTTTTTAAATTTGGTGGTGTTGGGCATTCGGGAAAAGAGAGGTAAAGAATAAAATTCATGATGAATGTGCTTTTTTTTTTTGTTTCACCTTTTTTTTTTGGGAAAAATGGCTGATGTATATTTTAAAAAAAAAAAAAAATTTCATCACCCCTGCAGTTCTTGTTTGGGTTCTTATATTTTTTAAAAATTTCCCTTTCTTGTATTCATATTATTCTTTTAATGCCCTCTTAATTTTTTTTTTTCTTTACCAAGAGGAACTTTGGTTTCAAAAGTTGTAGAGAACAGGGAATGTGAAAATACGCAAAACAAAACCGAAATAAAGTAGCAAAAGCTTTAAGGAAATGCAGTGCTTGTTATTTTTACTTCTGACATCATTTTCCCTCCCCTAAATGACAAAGGTATACATTCTCATTTTTAAAAGGGAAACCGCCTACGGGTGTTTGGTTTAAAGGAAAGCTTTTGACACAAAGGAATGAAACTTCTCGCCTACATCTCGTGAACCCCAAGAGGAAGGCCTTTAATTTGCAAAAAATTTCCAAGACTCCAGGGCGGGAAGGAAAGCATTATAAATTTTTAAAATTGAAAATTTTTTTTAAAAAGAAATAATGATAGGATAGCATAAAAAAGGGAGGCTTTGGGAAAGGTAGGGGGGGGTGTGGCCCAGGTGATTACAGTGAAACTTAAATTTTAACATTTTTTTTAGAAAAGGGCTAAAGGGTTTTTTTGGGGCATTTTTGATTTGGAAAAGGCGTAAACAGGGTGGGGGAGGGGGGCAAGGGAAGATTTTTGCGGGTTTGTAGGGTGTAGGGGGTTTGGGTTACTGAAAGCGTGAAGAGTTTTTATAGGATATTGGGGCTCAATTAGAGAAAGTGGGAAAGGGGGGAAATTTTTTTCCCAGTAAAGTGGGCCCTTACAAAAGGATTGTGATGTCCCCGTGGTTTTTTTAATTTTTTTTATAGATGGGGTAGTAAGAGAAGTAAATGCAGGGTGTGGCAAGAGGCGGGGATTTAAAAGTTAAAGACCCACTTTTTTAAATGGGAGTTTAAAGTTGCTCTTTGCTGAGGGCACTGGCTTTTGGGGGAATTCTAAAGAGAATTCCCAGTGGTTGGGGGATAAAATTTGGTTGGGGTATGAAAAAAGAAGAAAATTAAAAGTGAATACAGGAAAGGAAAGGGTTTTGAGGATAAAAAAATTTTTAAAGGTGATAAAAGATTGGATATCAGATTGGAGGGAGGATATGGAGGAGGTGAATGCATTCGTTTTTGGGAGGGGAAAATTTTCAGGGGGATGGGTCAAAGAA